AGGGTTTAGGGTTTAGGGTTTAGGGTTCAGGGTTGAGGATTTAGGGTTTAGGGTTTAGACTTTATGATTCTGGGGGTGGGTGGGGGGTCCGGGGGTCAGCCAGTGGGAAATCGGGCTCAAGAGCTGCAAATTCGTGGAGTTTGGAATTCATCGTGGTTAGAAAGCCCGACGTTCCTGCGATTTGTAGGGGTTGCATCTTTTACCCCACAGACTCTTGCTCTCATTGCCCCAAACTCTTTCGCCCCTCGCAACCTCTATGCGACAAACTCCCACAGCCCCTAAACCCTAAACCCTAAACCCTAAGCCCTAACCCCTAAACCCTAAACCCTAAACCCTAAGCCCTAAGCCCTAAACCCTAAACCCTCAACCCTCAACCCTAAACCCTAAACCCTAAGCCCTAAGCCCTAAGCCCTAAGTCCTAAGCCGAATACGCCCTAAACCCTTGGCCAGGTGTCCAGGCGGAGTTCCGGAGCTATCCAGGCATGGGCCACGCCTACTGCCCCGAGGCACCCATGTCCTCCGAATGTAGATCTCAGATACTATCTATACATATATATATATATATATATACATACATACACCGAAATATTGTGCATGTATATATATTTGTATTATGATTATTATTATGAGTATTTTTTATCATTATCATTCTAATTATCATTACGATCATTATCATCATCATCATCATCATCATCATCATCATCATCATCATCATCATCATCATCATCATTGGCATTATTATTATTATTGTTATTAGGATTACTATTTTTTAGTATTATTATTATTGTTATTGTTATTGTTATTGTTATTATTGTTATCCTTACTATTTATACATGACATATATATATATATATATGTATTCATATAACCCAGACTGCTGGTTCTGGTGTTCAAAGTTTTGAAAGTCTGTGACTCCTAGCCTACTACAAGCTGCAGATACCATACCCCTAGACTCTAGACTTTCCTACGCTAAAGCGCCAACCCTAAATCCTGCATCAAGAACACACACGCAGACACAGACACAGGCACAGACACAGACTCAGACACACACACAGACACAGACACAGACACAGACACAGACACAGACACAGACACAGACACAGACACAGACACAGACACAGACACAGACACAGACACAGACACAGACACAGACACAGACACAGACACACACACACACGCACACACACACAAACAAACAAACAAACAAACAAACAAACAAACAAACAAACAAACAAACACACACACACACACACAGACAGAGACACACAGAGAGGCACGCACAGAGACACACTCAGAGACCCAGACCCAGACGCAGACGCAGACGCAGACGCAGACACAGACACAGACACAGACACACACACACACACACACACAGACACACACAGACAGACACGCACACACACACACACAGAGACAGAAACACACAGACAGACACACACACACACAAACACACAGACAGACACACACACACACACAGAGACACACACACACACACACAGACAGACACACACACAGACAGACACACACACACACACACACACAGACAGACACACACAGACAAACACACGACGCACACAGACAGACACGCACAGACAGAAACACACAGACAGACAGACACACACACACACACACACACAGAGACAGACACACACACACACACACACACAGACACACACAGACAGACAAACACAGACAGACACACACAGACAGACAAACACAGACAGACACACACAGACAGACACACACAGACAGACACACAGAGACAGACACACACAGACAAACACACGACGCACACAGACAGACACGCACAGACAGACACAAACAGACAGACACACACACACACAGAGACGGACACACACGCACACAGAGACAGACACACACACAACACACACGGACAGACGCACAGACACACAGACACACAGACACACAGACACAGACGCACAGAGAGAGAGAGAGAGAGAGAGAGAGAGAGACAGAGACAGAGACGGACACGGACACGGACACGGACACAGACGCACACGCACACGCACACGCACACGCACACGCACACCTACACGCACACCTACACGCACACCTATACACGCACACCTACACCCACACCTATACACGCACACCTATACACGCACACCTACACGCACATCTACACGCACACCTACACGCACACCCGCAAACACACCCGCAAACACACCCGCAAACACACCCGCACACGCGCACACGCGCACGCACCTGCATGCACGCGCCATGGCCCCATGCTGAACACGAGGAGGCCAAGGATGTCTCGGCTTTCGTCACACGGCATCTACGCACAGCGGTAAGCCCGGAGCAGTTGGCCAGGCCAGGAAGGGAAAGAGTCAGAAGTTTGGTTTTGGGCCCGCCTGGAGTCAGCCCAGGGTCATGCTGTCATCTTCATGTATAAATAGTAACTAACTTATAATAATAAGAAGAAATAGTAATAATAATGATAATAGTAATAATAATGATAATAATAATAATAATAATAATAGTGTAAGCCTTGGGGCCCTGAACCTAAACCATCCTCAGGCTGGAAGAGGCCCCATCTACCTAAGCCATGAGACCTCAGCACTCAACCGACACATGAAAGACCTATGCAACCATAAGTTGCATTCGGACCGTAGGATTGATGATCATTGGTGATGAATGCTCTGCTCTGGTTAAACGGTGGAATGCTTGCCTGCCAGGATGTCGGCCAAGGACTCGGGAGCTTCCATGCCTGCGGGCTGGGAGCGGGGAGGGGCTGGACAACTGCAGGGCATTTTTCTTCCATTCCCTTAACCACAGGTTGCCGCAAAAGATGAAGTCTTGCGATGGAACCCCCATATTATTGCCCGAAGCCACCACCCAGAAACTCTCGCAACCCCAAGCCCCCCTACGGGTTTAGGGTTTCGGGTTTAGGGTTTAGGGGCTTCCAGGAGCTAAAAGCACTTCTCCTGGATGCCGGGATCAGTGCAACTTGGGATGGCAACAAGGGGCCGAGGGCTCTGAGAGCTGGGCGTAGAGCTTAGGGTTTAGGGTTTAGGCTTTCGGGTTTAGGGTTAGGGTTTAGGCTTTCGGGTTACGGTTTGGGGTTTAGGGTTTAAAGTTTAAGAGTTTAGGGTTCAACTTTGGGGTTGTTCACACTCACGTGGCAGCTCATAGAGAGTGGAGGAGGGAGTCTTGTGGTCACTCTAAACCTTGAGCCGGGAGTTTAGGGTTTAGGGTTTAGGGTTTAGGGTTTATAGGGTTTATAGGGTTTAGGACTTTGGTCAGGGATCCAAGGCTAAGCTCTGGGCTTCTGGGCTTCCGACTGATAGACGCCCTTGGAGCCCAGAGCTAAAGCCAAGCACCAGAAGCTTCAGTACACAAATCCCTACCGGTTCAAGCGTCGCGGAAACCCACCCTTGAGCATTCCTGAGCAGGAACTCCTTACACGGAGCCCGCCCTGAGTCGTGCCAAGAAAACCTGAACCCTAGTGCGAGCCTCAAGTCTGGAACCCTAAAGCTGAAAAAACAGCCACTCTCCTACAACAGTCGGCCTCAGGTGGTGGGCTGCTTTGAAAAGTCAGAGCTTCTGGAACGTGCGCGCGCGTCCCTGCTTTGAGAACCCGGCTATCGGATCATCCTGGACGTAGTTTGCGCGTGAACTCCGGACAACATGCCTGCCCTTAAGCCCCAAACCCTAAAACCCTAAACTCCCCCAGAGGAGCGGCGTACAGATACTCTTCTCGCTGCTCTGGAGCACCTCCCTTGGGTAGTGACGGGTACGGGTAGCGGAGTCTCCGACTCCCAAGCGCCCTGAACCCTTACGCCTCGCTAAGGGTTCGAGGTGATGTATCCTTTCGGGGGCGGCATGATTCCGAATATTATTCCCTCTTTGTCCCTACATAATTTTACGATACTTCCGCCCCCAAACCACACCCTAATCATTTAAGGCCCCTGCATTACCCAAGGGAGGTCACAAGTGCATGGTGTTTTCCCGGCCTGAGTTGTACAGAACACATGCCAGGCCAGAAGTTTTCTGGGCTGCGGGCCCACTTCAGAATCTCTGAGCCCTGAATCCCTACAGGCTAGGGCCAGGGCACCCCGAACCCTGAACCGTAAACCCTAGGGTTGGGAGCTTACTAGGCCCATTACAAAAACCCCAAGGCCGAATTAGGGCTTACATGTGTTGCATTCTGGGAAGTCTGTCGGGGAGTATAGGGATGTGGCGATTGTGCTCTGCCATGGCGTTGATGCCCAGAATCGTTCACCAGCGCGTGGATGGCACGCCGCGAAAGCGCGAAGACGGCTTCTATGATGGCTACGCCTTGCACCCTAAACATCCCTAAGCCCCTGCTTGGCTGAGCAGCTAACCTTTAACTCCTTGGTACATAGAAGCCTACCAGAATTGAAAGGTTAACCCGTTTTTAGGGCCAGGGTACTCAGTAACTAAGCCGAAAACCGCAGGACTCAGAGCTGCTGAAGTCTTCATAGGTTTAGGGTTTAGGGTTTAGGGTTTAAGGTGATTGGAACTCAGGTCTGCGAACGGGCCGGGGTCTAGCGGAGAGAGCATCATATGGGGGTGTACCTAATTGGGGTCCTTATTATAAGGGGATCCTACTATTTGGGGTCTATATTCGGGGTCCCTTATTCTTGTCAACCCCCCCAAATTGCTAGAGGGCACTGCTGGCTGGCGGCAAGCAGGATTAGTAGGCAGGGGCGCAGACGATGACTCGCACAGTTAAGTGGATTCTAAGCCTTCAACCCTCAAAATCCTTCAGCCCCATGCAGGGATGCACCCGTTTCGAGCCCGGGAATCCCACAGTCGCCAGTGAATGGCCCATAGTTTTATCTTGGGAGGGGCTAGACAGGGAAACCCAATGGTCCGCAGAATCCCAAACCTCAAAACGCATAACATAATATAACATAATATAACATAACATAACATAATATAACACGGTATAACATAGTATAACATAATGAAACATAGTATATGTTGAGAGCCGAACCCACAAACACGATCAGGCCAGAAGATGCTATCTCGCATTGTTGCCACGCTGACGAGGTCTGCCGGGTGGTTCCGGGTTCAAGATGCTACAACAGGTTTCGTGCGCCAGTTTTCAGGGGCTTCATTCGGGTTCTGGACTTCAAGGTTTGGGAAGACAAGTCAGTAGCTTGAAGCAGCTTGAACATGAAGCAATAAAGAAAGAAATGGAAGAAGATGACATAGCGGTGCCGTGGCGCATGCAAGCACTAGTGACCTAGGCCCTTAGGAACATGACATATTTTCCCTTATTGAGTTTAACAGGATCATATTCAGGAGTATGTTTCAGGGGGTTTTGGGGGCCATCCTAGTCCCTAATCGGCTTTTCTGCGTGCTGGTTCTGGTTGATCTGTCGTCAGGTAAAGTGTGATACCCGACTCAAGCTCGTCCAGCCCCGTCTTTTGAAACATGAACTGTTTGCTTAACCCGCCTGAACCCTGAACCCTAAACCCTAAACCCTCGCCACCACAGCTCGCCTGCACTGCAGGAGTCGGGCACAGAGGAGATGGATGCGAGCCTCTACCTTTGCAAGAGGCAACTTGTTGGGCATGCATCCTGTTGGGAAGGCCTCTCTCTCTCTCCCGCTCTTTCTCTCTCTCTCTCTCGCTTTTCTCTCTCTCTCTCTCTCTGTCTATTTCTCTCCTTTTTTTATATGAATTCAACGGCTCAGGAGTGAAGAGTCTCAGCAGTATACACTCCCTTGACGGGTCATATGCATAGGTCTGCAGTGCATCTCAAGATGCGCCGCAACTCAAGGGCACTGGGTCCGAAAGCACCCGGATGCGCGGGATCTTCTCAGGCTTTCGGCATCTCTTCAAGCCCAGAGGCGTTTCGGGTTTAGGGTTTAGGGTTTAGGCCTTCCGGATCCCACAGATCTGGAATCTAGAGATCCTTCAATCAACCGTGCAGCTGTGGCGGCAACAGCTGGGTTTCTTGCAGCCGTCCTTCATCTACATCTTCACCAGGATGGGCTATTACGCCCTACAATCCCCATAATCAACCCTAAAAAGGGCCTTTTTTATGGGTGATAGGGTGTAAGAGCCCATCCTGGCATACTAAAAGATCGTAACGCGTGGACCTCATGACTGTTCAGCTCTAGACACCCTGCCTGCATGGTGCAAGGAGACGTGCGTACTGCCCGCCGCGGGTGGAAACAGAGGAGGCCAGAGGTGAAAACGCCCTTCTCAGAAGAAGTCTTATAGGGCTTAGGGAATGTCAACAAGTTTGGGCTTCCCCCTTAGTTTTTGGAATGTATGGGTGGTTTAGGACGTGGGTTGGGGCACAGACTTGAGGGATTCAAGCAGTGTGTGCCTGCACCGAATTTGCAATCAACGTGAGGAGAACTCTCTAATTAGGTTTGAAATCTTACTGCCTTGGATATTGCCAGCCCAAGAACTAAACTCCAAGCCCTAGCCTAGACCCCAGGTTGCATAGCATCAGCAGGTCCGCGGGCACAGAGGTGCTGGTTTACGGCTGGTTTAGCGTTTAGGGTTCAGGGTTTAGGGCCCAGGTTGCTCCTGGCACGAACTTCGTAAAGGGTGCAACCCAAAGCCTGGACTGCCAGCAGCCCCGACAGCATTGAAGACCGTTTGATTCCTGGGATTTTGGAGTACTATACTCATAGCTACTTCTACTACTGGAAAGCATATACTTTCTGTTCCGGGGTCTACTCCAAAGTGGGGATCCTGTGGTCTTTTTGTGGCCGGATGCCGCCTCAAGATTGGAGCCCCAAAGCTTCTGAAAAGCGGGCTGGAACTTTAGCGTCACCTAAACTTTGGACGAGGGCCCTAGACCCCATGGTCTTGTCACCCTAAACCCTAAACACTAAACCCTAAACCCTAACCATGGAGGAGTCACAGCTGCCGACAGCAACCGGCTCAGATGGAGCGGCCGGGAGACTCAGCGTCAGCTGCGGTTTACCGGCTGGTTCTTGGTAGGGAATGAGGGAATGAGGTACCCTACATAATCCCAGAAACGGTAGATAAACATAGGGCCCTAATTCCGTCAGTCCTTACTAAGAATCAGGGAGGTTTAGGAGAAGCTCCAGCTGCAAATTGTTTGGACACGGGGCAAGAGACATGATAATCATCGCTATTGAGGCTGATGTGATGCGGTGCCATGTCATGCAGTGAGGTGAGACGTAGGACAATGAGATTTAGAGCGAACCAACTGGAAACGACAACTCCAAATTGACAGGGAGATAAATCCTATGCTGAACACAGGAACTTACTGGTGTTGAGTCGCGCGGTCAACCAGCAGGTTGGTAATATAATTCTTCTCGGGGGCAGAATCAGAACGACGGAACAGAGCAACGGCACGGCTCGACAGCTGCTCTAGGTTTTGGAGCTTAGGCTTACGTTCGACCTTGGCCTTGAGTCTCTCCAATCTGTTGTACTCTGTCAGCTTGTGCTCCCCCAGGCCCGAGATATGTTTTTGAGCATTGTTTCCAGCCACAGGTTTCTCTCTTTCTACCAGCTCCCTGTCGTTCGTTGGGGTTCGGGTCCTGATTCGGAGGTAATTTGATCTGTGGAAGAGGCCAACACTTCTGAGATGTTGTTGCACATGGCTCGGTGGCTGTGCGTTTTTGTCGTGCGACATTCGGCGCCGCACTCCTCCCAGGACCTCACGGAAGTCAGAGGTTCTGCAACGCAACACCGGAAACCTAAACCCCCGATGCCCCAAACCGATGCTAAAACCTTGAAAGCATCCGATGCCCCCCCCCCCCCCACCAAAAAAAGCAAAATTCACGACCCAACCGGTAAGAAACTGCCCTAAACCCTAACTAACCCTATACCCTAATCCCTCATCCAAAGGGCCGCACGCTTCTTGAAGCATTGGCGACGAAGCCAAGGCAATGGTTTTTTTGTAGCCAGGAGGTTTAGGGATTAGGGTTTTCAAGACTTTGAGATTTAAGGTTGAGAGTGAGGGTTCTGAGGAACTTGAGTTTTCACGGTTCAGGGCTTGAGGTTGTCAAGGTTGCTCTAGCCTTTGGGTGTTAGTTAGTTTTCATGTGCCTCTGGGTGTTAATTAGTTTTTGTGTTTAAGAGTGATGATTAGGGGAATTGAAGGGTTAAGGCTTCAGGTTTCAAGCTTTAGATCTACTAGGTTTCAGGCTCTCCCCCAGAAAGAACGGATCAGTCAAGTTAAGTTCCAGCTGACCAGCGTAGACCTACTCGAACAGCGACCGTCATGTCTGACTTGTTTCTTTCAGATTCACATCTTCCAGCGCATCCTTCCTCGAAAAACCCCTAAGCCCCTTCACACTACCAGCCCGAAGTCTGGGGATGTTCCCCCTTATGCTAGCCGTCCTCAATCGGGATTGTAATAGGGGCACTCGAATCACCTACTAAGGACTCATTTATAAAGGGGGGAATTTTAACATCCCAACCAAGGTCCTTTAAACTCTCCAACGCAACCCGCCATCCCAAGTCCAAAATCCGATCCCTCACACCAAGGGCTCGGTTTCCTTGCAGGCTTTATAGGGCTTAGTTGGGATGACCTGATAACCCCATTATTATAATCCCAATCCCTATCAAGGGCTGCTAGTATAAGGGGGAACATCCCAAAAGCTTAGTTGGGGTGGGGCTCAACCCTAAACCCTAAACCCTAAACCCTAAACCCTAAACTCTCTTAAGATTTAGGGCTTCAGGGAAGCAGCTTGAGGTCGAATCCGCACTTGCCCTTGGGCAGTGACGGAGAGGTCCCGATACCTGCATCCGGGGCTTCTTTCCTTAGGGATACTCGGCGATTCAGTCCTTAGAAACAGCCAAAAATTTTTATTTTTGCTAGGGCTCCAAGTTCTGACCGAAGACGGTTGTTCGAGGTCCCTATCTCTCTCTCAGTATAGTTTCGGTTTAGGGCGTCTAGGACCTCAGGTCAGAGGATCTTTCGAGGGGTGGAGGAGTTGAGGGCTGACTTTTGGAGGAGGGAAGCGGAGACACGCTCGGCGTCAGGTGGGAGATCCAGTGTTAGAGAATTCGGGGTGGAGCCCTGAGACCCACACCCCAAAGCCTGAACCACCCCTAAGCCCTGCTGTAAGCTTGGGAGCCCAGTGGTACCCTGTACCCTTTTTTTGGGGGGTTCTGGTAGAGTAACCAACCAAAACAAGGGTGCCCTTACTATAATATGGTTACTGGCTACTAAGTAAGCCAGCAACCCTAAATCAAGCCCTGCCATGGTTTTGGGAAAACGTTAAATGGAATGAACAGGTTTAGGGTTTAGGGTTTAGGGTTTAGGGTTTAGGGTTTAGGGTTTAGGGTTTAGGGTTTAGGGTTTGTTGTTTAGGGAGTTTGAGCTTCAGAAGAGAAAGTGGGGGGGCCGACGTGGCTCGGGCTTATGGGGGCTGAGGGTCCATAGGACTTTTTGGGAGAGTTTAAGCGTAAAAGGGTAGCTATTGCATTGGGATCCAGGATCTAAGGGGCTTTGAGTTCACATGAGGGTTTAGGAGTTGGGGCTACGGGTTTGGGGTTGAGGATGAGGTGTCTCGGGCGATTTTGCATTGTTTGCGCGTCTCGGCCGACAAGAAAGGAGTCCGCTCTCCGGGCGACTTCGCAGGTCCCAAACACGTCACTACGGAAAAAACCGAAGCCGTGTTAGATACCCCTAGAAACCTGAAGACTAAACCAAAGCCCTGCCGCCTATAACTTAAAACCCCAAACCCTAAACATCGATTTCCCAACTTTCGACTTTCTATCCCCCCCCTCCTTTCCCCCATTCCCCCCTCCAATTTCTCCCCCAACCTGCTCCCGGTGAGTTTTCTCCCCCGCTTTTGGGGAGGCCTTGCTTCTGGTCCGCCGAGCCGTGCGCTCTGATTTGGCGGGCAGGGCCACGGCTTTCTTGAAGAGAGAGCTTGTGGTTTTTCTACGGGTGTTGTTGTTGTTTGTTTTGTCGTCGTCTGGTTTCTTGATGGAGCTTTTTACAGGGTGTGTTTTCAAGTGTGCTTACCCTAAAGTCCCCAAATCCTGAGCCTCAAGCTCTTGGCCTGCTTCAGTGTGTTCCTCTCCCGCCCTCAGCAGTCGAAGCTGAGTCGGGTCTCTCTTCAAACGGTCGCGGGGGGGTTTTACATGGTTTTAGAAGGGGTGATGTTTCATGAATCTACATGGGCATGGGGGAGCGATTGATTTTAAAGGCGCGCCGCACGAAGCATTTCTTACGGCGCTTGGCTTGGAAGACCTGACTTGCGGGCCCCACTCTGGACCCCCCCAAACAGTCACACGGTCTTAAATAGCAAGGTAAACTCGACTTTCTTCAGAGCCACACAATGAAACTACTCGCAGCTATCGCAACTATCGTGAGCTTTTGGGGCTCAAGCTGTAAGTTGTACTGTTTTTGGGGCAGCTCGGCAGCCACTCAGATTCCACTACGAGACTCTTCCGCCTCTACTCCACACGATACAGAAAGCCCTCAACCCTAAACTCGGAGGCTCGGACCCCCGGCCCTGTTATTCGTTTAAAGTCAAGGCCCGGGCTTTCCAGGGCGACATGTGCGCGCGGGGCCCGAGAGTTGTTGGAGCAAAGGACTCTGGGACTTAGGGCTTTGCATCTTACGGCTTTATGGAGCTGCTCGGACTCTACCGTCAGCCTTAGGGGCTAAAGGAGGGACCCTTACAAGGGACCTGGGGTTTAGGGTTTAGGGTTTAGGGTTTAGGGTTTAGGGTTTAGGGTTTAGGGTTTATTGCAGCCTGATGGCATGATGCCTCAAAGCATGCGTTGAACTGACGAGAGGTCAGGCTGTCAGTTTTTCGCCCCATGCTTCTGCGAAAGACTTTTCACGAGGCTCTTCTCACCAGCCCTACTTCAATTTGTTGGCACTGTACTTCCTCAGAATCAGCTAAAATAATAGTTTTTGCTAGGGTTCCAAGTTCAGTGTAGAACTGTCCCGAACCTCCATGCAGTCCAAAAGAGCCCAATACCCCTTAATTAAGGACTATATCTTAAACCATACTAAGCCTTACTAAGGATCCCTCTATACATATATATATATTAAGCGATATGCCCTAATTAAGGGATATTGGGCCCTTTGGGTAGTCATTTAGCTGCTTCCTTTCGTCTTCCCTGTGCTGCTTGAGGCTAAAGCGCTAGCAGCGGAGTTCCTGGCGAAGGTCGGTCAGTTTAGGGTTTAGGGTTTAGGGTTTAGGGTTTAGGGTTTAGGGTTTAGGGTTTAGGGTTTAGGGTTTAGGGTTTAGGGTTTTTAGTTTTTAGGGTCTTGGGTTTAGGGTTTAGGGGGACTCTATACAAGTAGCAGAAGCACGAATCGGCCTATTGTACTTAGCCGAACAACATTTTCCGTACGATTAGTGGCACCGTTCTCCTTGGGCAGGCTGCCCCATTGGTCCCAGGCTCTAAGGCTTCAGTGAATTCACCAATTTTTGGAGCTTTGTGGAGGTTTTGGATCAGAGTTTAACCCTGGAACATCGTGTAGCGCCTCAAGTGGAGCGTAAGCAGGAAGGGAGGGTCAACGTGCCGCCCAAGACTCGGAGCAACATTCCGTCAACATCCCAACGCAACGTAGGGTGCGATGAACAGGGATGAACCAACACGAGTTAAGGCCTAAAGTGTCATGGCGAAACGGCCTAGTCTACCCGAACCTCGCCCTGATGCTACAGTTGGTTCTAGCGGCTACAAAGCTTCAGTCCCTGAATCACCTTGAACCCTAAACCCTAAACCCTAAACCCTAAACCCTAAACCCTAAACCCTAAACCCTAAACCCTAAACCCTAAACCCTAAACCCTAAACCCTAAACCCTAAACCCTAAACCCTAAACCCTGAGCCGAACAAGCTTCACACCGAAGGCGCCTTCGGTGCCTTGACCACAGCAGCAGTGACCTCAGGAAGAGACGGGGGCCTGGGAGAGGGGTTTCGACGACCCAAGAATTTGGGTGTTGTTTGTGGTTCGGGTTTAGGGTTTAGGGTTCGGGGTTTGGGGTTGGGGGTTTGGGTTTAGGGTTTAGGGTTTAGGGTTTACGGTTTAGGGTTTAGGGTTTAGGGTTTAGGGTTTAGGGTTTAGGGTTTAGCCTCCCCCCCTCCCCCGCTTGCTTTTTAATTTACATAGGAATTCTGCGCTAGTCATTTTGCTACTTGTCACAGGGCTTGCGCCCGAACGCAGCTGGACACCCCACAAGCCATTGCAATCAGGGCCACTAAGCTCGCTTTGCTCACTACGCTCGCTAAGTTCGCTAAACTCTAAACCCTAAGCTTTGCTCCCCGTGCCGATGCGGCCCAAGCCTACACATGCCTACACCCCCAAGATTGCCGAGTCCTCGCCGACTCTTCAGAGATTTAAACCTTATGAGCTCTAAGCCCTTAACCCTAAGCCCTAAGCCCTAAACCCTAAACCCTAAACCCTAAACCCTAAACCCTAAACCCTAAACCCTAAACCCTAAACCCTAAACCCTAAACCCTAAACCCTAAACCCTAACCCTAAACCCCAAACCCTGAGCCCTAAACCCTAAACCCTAAACCCTATACTGGAGTTCGAGCAGCTGCCCAAGGCTTTCAGAAGCCAGACCTCTGCGCCTTTGCGCCTCTGCGCTCCGGCCGTGGGAATTCAGTTGCTAGTCCCCACTCTTAGTGTATAGCAAGGCCGAGGAGTCCGAACCCTCAACCCTAAACCCCTAAACCCCTAAACCCCTAAACCCCTAAACCCCTAAACCCTAAAGCCTAAACCCCTAAACCCTAAACCCTGATACGTTGGAGCGAAGCAGCGAAGCTCTCATCTCTGATCTCCAAGACCCGCTACCTATAGGCGGACGGGGGTTTAGGGTTTAGGGTTTAGGGTTGAGGGTTTAGGGTTGAGGGTTGAGGGTTCAGGGTTTAGGTTTTTAGGGTCTTTAGGTGTTTTTAGGTGTTTTTAGGTGCTTAGGGTTTAATTATGGGGTTTACAGGGTTTAGGCTTGAGGGTTTGGACCTCTAGGACAATCATGGAACTACTAGTACCACAGCAATCGCATGGAGCAAAATGGGGGCAAGACCTTCCTTGAGCCAGAATTGAGAGTGTGGGTAGCGGCTTGTGACAAAGCCTCCGATCTGTGCGTGTTAGGCGCGCATTTCGACTTTGAGAGAGGCACTGAAGCTTCGTGCAGTGGGTCGAGACAGCCCGTTAGCACTGCACGAGGCATTCGGCGTGGCCCCCTTCTTTCACACCAGCACAGGGAGCAAGGAGAGGCGCGCGCCGGCCAGAAGAGTACGGAGTCCAGCCAGGGTTTAGGGTTTAGGGTTTAGGGTTTCGGGTTTAGGGTTTAGGGTTTAGGGGTTTAGGGTTTATAGGGTATAGCCCCCAGAAACACCCAGAACCTGCGCAGAAGTCGGCGAGCTGCCCTTCCTTCCAAAGTGTGCCTTCCTGCGCTGATGCATTTGAAGCTGTACAGCTCACTGCCCAGACGCAGAGGATGAGTCTCCTGCTTCGTCACATCGAAGGCTGCACTAGTCGTTGCTTTTAAGAACCCCCGAAAAACAGAAAATGCTACTAGTTGCTTAAGAACCCCGAAAAATGGAAAATATTCTTCCGTTATCAAGGGTAATAGAGGGATTGTTTTTGTTTGATGCTTTTGGGGTATCTTAAGCAAATAGTAGTATAGGGAGCAATCAGAGGAAGAGCTATGGTTGCCGAGGTCTGCTAAGGCATATCTAAGGTATACCCCTAAACCCTGGATTTTGTGAGGGGAAGCTGAGGAAGACAGAGTCCGAGGATGGGGGATCGTTAAGGAGCTGATTCGGGTTTAGGGGTTAGGGGTTAGGGTTCAGGGTTTGGGGTTTAGGGTTTAGGGTGTAGGGTTGAGGGTTTAGGAATTCACACTGTTGTGATGTTGATCGGATTGGGGTGTAAAGCTCTTAGGAGCCACGGGCTACAGGTCGAATATAGGGGTCGGAATAATTACTAGTAGTTTTCTCTTATGGTTCCTCTACATGTATACGACCATAACCACCAAAACAGTATTCCAACTGTACACGAAGCTAGCAGCGACCGGTTGGGCCACCGTCACCCCAGAAGTCTTGCGACATGTGGGTATTTCCCAAGATAGGGGTACCCCTTTTATACCCAAACAGAGTGGAGTCCCCTTAAAGGGACCCCCCAAAAGAGGACCCCCCGCCCCCCCCTTATTCGGAAACCCTCGTGTGCAGCGGCGAGGTTCTTCCTCTGCGTGACGAGTTAAAGACCGACCTGTAGCGAGATAGATGGTGTCGTGGACAGCACACCTGCTGTGGCCGAGTCAGGTTGTAAACCTTAAGTCGTCATGTCTTCCCGCGTCGGTCAACCCTGATACCCTATAACCTTGAATATCCGAAACCATCTAGAAGCAAGTACATGTCTGTATCACAAAGCCTAGAAAGCCAAAAGAGATCAGCACCTTGGGTCTTGCGAGTCTCGCGTTTCGAGGCAAGACTAGGCAGCGGAGTTTACGGTAACTGGGATGTGAGGAATTGGGACCCAGAGTAGGCCCGTTTTCCTTTAGGGTGTAGCTTCGCTCATAAGCCCCTAAACTCTAAACCCTGAAACCCTAAACCCTAATCAAACCAAAGAAGAGCATCCTTGCTATTCCTATATAGGGTCCCTAAACCCTAAACTTGGGTCAAGGGAATTGGTGAGTTGGGGATGCCTCAACTGTGACCCTACGCCCTCTCAGTGCACAGAGAACATCCTTCCACCCAGAAGCACCCAGAACCGGCAGCAATCCGAACTTCAGCATCTCCTAAACCCTAAACCCTAAAATAACTCGGGATCCAGCTTAAGAGCCACTTTAGGGTTTACGGTATAGGGTTTAGGGATGTTTAGGGTTTAGGGTTTCGGGGTAGGTTCTACAGTTTTTTTGGGTTCTGGGCTTTCGGTTTTTCAAAGGTGCGGTGGCGAACGTGGATCCCATAGCCAGGGTTCGGGCACTAAGAGGTCGGAGCTCCCCGACTTTGCTTTCTTGGCTCAAATGTTCCCGTTAGCGTTCGCAAGTGCAGGCACATGGCAAGACTGCACATGCAATGACTTCATAACTTTTTGTGATATGGCATCGGCAAACGTACCATGAGGTGTCCCCGATAGGTGTAAGATCACTGCGCCCTCAGCAGCTTTCGAAGGACGAGGCGCGTGGACTGCGCGGCATTGTAGCAGCAGTGTTTCCTGCCTATACTCCTCAGTTGAACTCGACATTTCAACGCTAGGATCGTGCTGCAAGAGGTTCGCAAGGAGAAAGTAAAACGCGGAAACCACCTGTGACTGGTCATTTTAATTAGACGGCAGTGCATCCGAATACAAGAAAGGTTGAACATAAGGCAGCCCTTCGCATCTGAACAGAGGACTATTGCCCTCTGTACGAATAAGATGTCCATGGCATCCTGACACACACACGGATTCTGAAATGTACTGTAACTCGTATTTCACTCCACGTGCTGCTTCATCGAGCGAAATAAGACGGCAATGACATATACAGCCCTCGACCCGAAAGCCTAAACACGACACCCTAATGCCTACAGCACAACTCGTGAAGACATGCCTAAGGCGGTCAGGACAAGGAAAGCTGCATGCAGATCGTAGGTAGGCCGCACTTGCTACTCCTTGCAGGGTTCTAGCTACGACTTTTGGGTTTAAGGGTTGCCCTAAACCCTAAAGCCTAAAGCCTAGACCCTAAACCCTAAACCCTAAACCCTAAACCCTAATAAACCCTAAACCCTAATAAACCCTAAACCCAAGATGCTAAGAAGGCCGTAGGGAACCCTGGCATCACTGCGCCTCTTGGAAAGGCAGAGGCCGAAGATGCTCCGTTTCGCAGCCCTGAGCTGAGACAAGCCTGCAAAGCCCGAGCCTTTAGGGTTTAGGGTTCAGGGTTTAGGGTTCAGGGTTTAGGGTTTAGGGTTTAGGGTTCAGAATTCAGGGTTCAGGGTTCAGGGTTTAGGGTTTAGGGTTAGGGTTTGGGGTTTAGGGTTTAGGGTTTAGGGTCTAGGGTTTAGGGTTTAGGGTTTAGGGTGCTTGTTTGTTTGGTGGCGGTTTGTCGTCGGGAGACGCGATGCTGTACTGGTGCCGTAGATGTGCGGTCGCAGGGTATACCACCTCGATAGCCGATAGCCTTTGAAGTGTTTCTGAAGTCTGAAGCTTGTACTTTTAGGCTTAGAATGTGTTCAAGATAGTCCAGGGCTCCAGCGCGGAAAGCAGCTGGAGCTTTGAGATCCATAACAACAAGTAACTGGTGGGAGTCCTATCGGTCGGTACAGTATTTTGCACGACTCTTAATGCAGGTGCCGATGCATTTGCCATGTGAGAGCTTGCCCACAATCATACGCGTAAGACAGGGCAAGTTATGCAAGCTTAGACGTGAGAGCAAGTTTTCTGTCAGCTGAGAGTCTAACTGTTTTATCGTTGCAGTTCGGAGCTAATTCCAGACACTCGGTCGGTACTCGCCACAAGAACTGTTCGCATTGTAGCAACGCACCTCTCAACATCGCTGGTTGTCACTACTCATTGCTTAAGAACCCCGAAAAAATTGAAAGAAATTATTCTTCATTAAGGGTAATATATGGGGTTCTGATTTTTCTTTTGGGGTTCTTAAGCAAATAGTAGGTCACTGCACCTCATCTCGAACTTCGTACCAGTCGTCTCAAGGCTCGTCACTTGCTCCGCCCACGTGCTGCGATCGCCGTGATCTCAGATCCGTACAGCCCAAAGGGTCCATGTACCTATATAGGATATACTTGGGCCTTAACAGGGATCCCTCTGTAGTAGCTTTAGGGCCCCAGTATACCACACAGGTACATGGACCCTTAGGCAGGTTGGCTTCTATGTAAAGAGAAACAGGATTTCCTAATCACCACTTAACTTTTAATCTCGGAAGGCGTCGCACATTTTCACGGGATGGGCCTTGTTGGGATCCAAGCCTTGCCCAAAAGCAGCACATGTCCCTAAACGCTAAACCCTAAACCCTAAACCCTAAACCCCCGTGCTGCATGTGGTCACAGCTTCAGGAACCCTGAAGGCGTGAGTGTCCTCGAAACCTTGCTCACGTCCTGAGCCTTAAAATCCCCTTAAAATCCCCCCGACGGCCCCAGGCCCAAACTAAACCCTAAACCCTATAAACCCCTAAACCCCTAAACCCCTAAGCTGAAACATCCCTAAATCCCTATAAACCCCTAAAGACATTCGAGGGTTTAGGGTTTAGGGTTTAGGGTTTAGGGTTTAGGGTTTAGGGTTTAGGGTTTAGGGTTTAGGGTTTAGGGTGCAGGGTTTAGGGTTTAGGGTTTAGGGTTTAGGGTTTAGGGTTTAGGGCGATGGCCAAAAACCCTCCTCTTCCACTCCTAACCCAGAGGCCGCCACGGGCCTGGGAGCCGGGGCCTCTCAGCGTTGCTGCAGCATGGGAGCGGGCGCGGGAGGTGGTTTAGGGTTGAGGGTTTAGGGTTTGGGGTTTAGGGTTTAGGGTTTAGGATTTAGGGTTTGTTCGGACGTAAGATTCAGAGCTGGAGGGGGCGGAGGGGGTTCGGTTGTAAGAATTCAGGGTTTAGGAATAGCTCACGTTTTGGGGTTTTGGTGGATTGGAAGAATTCAGGGTTTCGGGAGTTTAGGGATGGCTCTCGTTTTGGGATGTTTGGGATTTAGCAGTTGGGTTTGTTTAGAGGGCTAAGGGTATATGATCCAGGATTCTTTCCGGTCTTCAGGGTTGTCATGGTGACGCGCCTCTTTGTCGAGGCTGACAAGATACCCTGAGGCTGTCCCACCCTAAACCCGAAACCCTAAATCCTAAACCCTGAAAGGTGCATGGGGTGGTTAAAAAAAACCTAAGCCCTTAACCCTAAACCCTAAACCCTAACCCCTCTCGGGGCTGCAAGTTCTGAGGTAGCCTGTGATGTTCTAGTGGGTTCTTTCTAGAAAGAGGGATTCCGTAGTCGTAGAGATTTGGGATGTTCCCCCTTATACTAACAGTCCTTACTAGGAGTTCTAGTAGCCCGTCTGTTTGAATTCCTACTAAGGACTAGTATAGGGGCAACATCCCAAGATTTAGTGTTTAAGAACTTTGCACTTAAAGACTTAGGGGTGATTTACGCCTTGGGGGTTGTGGTTTAGCGCCAAGGAAGGCTCCACGTCGCCATGGTCAATGAACTCTATAAGTCCCTAGCTGCCCCCTGAACCCTAAACCCTAAACCCTAAACCCTAAACCCTAAACTTTAAACCCTAAACCCTAACCCTAAACCCTAAACCCTAAACCCTAAACCCTAAACCCTAAACCCTAAACCCTAAACCCTAAACCCACCCTAGCCGGCAAGGCAACCATAGCTGCTCTTTCAACTCAGTGCCCGAAGCTACAGGTCGCAGGTGCGACGTTTCAGTTGACGCCGTGGCAGGCCCGACCAAAAGTCTTCATACCGGTTTAGGGTTTAGGGTTTAGGGTTTAGGGTTTAGCGTTTAGGGATACGGGGATTTACGATAGTAGGGGTACCCTATAGTGGGGTCCATATTGTAAGGGGTGTCCTATTTCTGGGTTCTATCTTAGGGGTCCCCTATTTTCGGAAACCCCCCCAAGTTCATCGGTTCAGGGTGATTCACGTCGCCTCAAAAATCTCCAAAGTCTTGGTTGGCAGTTCACGTCTGCCCACGATTGCCTTGCCGGCTAGGGTGGGTTTAGGGTTTAGGGTGAAGGGTTTAGGGTTTAGGGTTTAGGGTTTCCTACTGCGGGATACAGGATGGGCGCCGATGTTCCAACGGTGGGTCCAGCACAGCATTAGGTTTCAATGCTTGCTTTGCGTGTGCGTAGCTTGTGCCAAGCACAGCGTTAGAACCAACTCTCTAACAGTACAACTGCCTAGCAGCAGCCCTTAAAAGCATATCTCCCTAGCAACAACCCTACAAGTCTCACCCAAAAGCTTCCTAGAAGCCCGGAAGCCCTACACCCTAAACCCTCATCCCACAACCCAAGCCCGACACCCGGCACCAAGCAATACCCAGAAGCCGGGAGCCCCGATCCCACCGTGGCTCAAAACTCGCCAAGGGGGCCAAGTTTTGCGGTGGTTGGTGCCTCGCTATCTGGTTCTCATGAATTCCCTTAAGCCGATAGTAACAAGCATTTTGATTACCCTTGCTGTTTCAGTATGATTTTTCAGATTGTTACTAAAGCTGTTGTTCAGGTGCATGGGATTGTGCATGTTTTAGAGCTTTGGAGGGCAGCCTGCGATGGAGGCGACGGAGCTTTGCATTTTGCACTTTCTGCGTTGTAAGAGTTGGGCCGAATATGGGTGTATACGCGTCAGATCTGGGGGCTTTGGGCGGAAAAGGCGGGGGGACGTTTTGGATTTTGCAACCCTGTTCAAGGACTCGTGGGTTGGGAGCGCACTTGGCGTGGAAAACTTAGGTTGGCAGTGCCTGAGCTACCCTGCACCCTGCAACCTCTACAACCCGAAGACCTTCAACCTCAACTCACAAGCACAACCACTACCGCAAGGGCCTACCCCAAACCCCAAACCCCAAACCCCAAATCCCAAATCCCAAACCCCAAACCATCCCAAACCCCAAACCATCCCAAACCCCAAACCCCAAACCATCCCAAACCCCAAACCATCCCAAACCCCAAACCATCCCAAACCCCAAACCATCCCAAACCCCAAACCATCCCAAACCCCAAACCATCCCAAACCCCAAACCATCCCAAACCCCAAACCATCCCAAACCCCAAACCATCCCAAACCCCAAGCCATCCCAAACCCCAAACCATCCCAAACCCCAAACCATCCCAAACCCCAAACCATCCCAAACCCCAAACCATCCCAAACCCCAAACCATCCCAAACCCCAAACCATCCCAAACCCCAAACCAACCCAAACCCCAAACCATCCCAAACCCCAAACCAAAAACCCCAAACCCCAAACCCCCAAACCCCACACCCCACACCCCAAAAACCCAAACCCAAACCCTAAACCCTAAACCCTAAACCCTAAACCCTAAACCCTAAACCCCCTAAACCCTAAACCCTAAACCCTAAACCCTAAACCCTAAACCCTAAACCCTAAACCCTAAACCCTAAACCCTAAACCCTAAACCCTAAACCCTAAACCCTAAACCCTAAACCATCACCAGCCGAGCTCCACCTTGGCAGGTGCGCATGGCGCCAGAAATCCTGCTAGAGACTTCCGGGGCCTGCTTTTAGGGCCAGGCTTAGGCTTTATAGGGCAGTTCGGGTTTAGGGTTTGGGGTTAGGGGTTAGGGTGTAGGGAACAATAGCTTCTATCTGAGGGGGGGCCAACTCCATATGAAGACCTATGATAGAAACACTCAAAGAACCAGCCAGAGGGAAAGGGGTCAGAATCCTAAGGCCTCGAACTAAGCAGGGCTCGGAAGTCTCGAGCGGGAGATTTCTGGCTCCGTGCACAGGGGTCACGAAAGAAGCACCTGCCTTCGGCTGCTCGTCCAGACACGTGGACCTCAAAGTGAGGAAAGGGTCAGGCATGAGTAGCTGTAGGTGGGGATTTCAGAACTGTATCCCTTACAGTCCTTAAAAGGGATGATGATAGGGGGTACTGAAATCCCTATTGAATGTCCTATTGAGGACGGCTAGTATAAGGGGGAACATCCCAAGCTGTAGGGTTCGGGGGGCTTCATGCCTTTGCGGAGTTCCGTGCTCGGCACAGCATGCTGCCTCATCGACCGTCCAGTTTGCCTTGAATGCTTGGAGACCCAACGTGTTCCCACAAGCGCAAAGCCTTTGCGTCTCCAGAGGTTTGTCGTGGAGCCGCCGCTGGCTTCACCGCGGATGATCAGAGACTTAGCGGCCTTCGGACGCTTCAGGAGCCCCAGCCTCTAAGCCCAGATTCAGACAAGATGAGGAGCTCGCAAATGGCAGCCGCGGTGTGCGAGATCTCCGACACGATGGCCACAAAGCCCAACATCTTCCGCTGCAATCAGGCTTGGGAATGCTCGGGATCAGTTAAAGGGCATGTTGGGCCTTGAAGCGCAAGAAGGGCTCGGGGCCCGCTGTTGATGCTGAACCCCCTCCGGGGCCGAGTGCCACACTCTTTCTCGGCTCAGCGCTTGAAACCCCACATTCCCCAAACCCTCCAAAAACCCAACAAAAACCGGAACTCCCTCTCAGGAAATGGCCGCCTTCACGGCCGCCGGCCGCTGGGTGGAGGCACTGGAGCTGATCGGGGGCCTCTCAGGCCAGCAGCTTCAGCCGGATGTGGCAACCTTCAGTGCCCTGGTCCTGGTACTTGTTTCGTGTGTGGTATAGGCGAGTTTCCCAAAAGATGGGACCCCTTTTTGTAGACCCCCCAAATAGCAGGAAGCAGGATTCCCAGTGAACCCGGACCCCAATAAAGTACCCCGAATCTCGGAAACCCCCAGAATTAATAGGGCTTTTGGCGCTTTTTCGTCCTTGTGTCGTGTGGTTGCTTTGGGCAGCCGAGCTTGAGAGCGCTCTCTCCGCCTCGGAGCCCCATCTGCCCTCTCCACCCTCCCCGCCTGAGTTGAGTTCTGTGGGCGGCTCCGGGGGGGGTGTTCAAAGCGTGCCACCAAAAAATGGTAAAGCTCCGAGTTCTACTCAGTAGGGCTCCTAAACCCTAAACCCGAAACCCTTATGAAAACTCGAAACCCCAAACCCCAGACCCCAGACCCCAGACCCCAAACCCCAAACCCCAAACCCCAAACCCCAAACCCCAAACCCCAAACCTAAACCCTAGACCCCAAACCCCAAACCCCAAACCCCAAACCCCAAACCCCAAACCCTAAACCCCAAACCCTAAACCCAAAACCCTAAACCCTAGACTGCTGAGGCATTGCCATTCGAGCGTGTGCTCTCAGCATCCGCTGGGCCCAGGCCATGCAGCTCTTGCTCCTTGACTGCTTTTGGGCTCATGGGTTCCTACCCCCCCCCCCCCCCCCACCCGTCTGGTTTAGGGTTTAGGGTTTAGGGTTTAGGGTTTAGGGTTTAGGGTTTAGGGTTTAGGGTTTAGGGTTTAGGGTTTAGGGTTTAGCTTAGGGTTTAGGGTTTAGGGTTTAGGGCCCCCCTAGGTCCTAAACCCTAAACCGATTGATAATCCCTAAGCTTAGTCTTTCGATGTTCCGCTTAAGCATGAGACCTACCTTAAGAGACCCCCCCAACCTACTTTTCTTTGGTGGGCTCTGATTAGCAAAACCCCTCCTATACGATTCTTAGGTACCCTACAAAAAATTGGTTTTGGGTTCTCAAAGTAGGGTAAATGCGGTGTTTTTGGGGGAGCTTGTTCCGCAACTGTTCCCGCAACTGTTCACGAAGCCGAAAGGCCGAAAGGACTCTTTCAACAATGCTGAACGAGTTTGTCCAAACACCCGGAGACTCTGCGCAAGTAGGCACCTCAAGAGCAACCGAGGTTTCAGATGCCCAAACGCCTGGTGGAGCCCAACACCATCTCTTTCAACACAGGTATGAGTGTATGCGCCTGGCCTGGCAAAAGGGTGGATTCGGGAGGTTTCGGCTGTAACGATAGACTATACCTTCACAGCCCAGGCCTTCTTCACCTGACTTTACCTTGGTTGCTAAACCCTAAACCCTAAACCCTAAACCCTAAACCCTAAAAAGCGTAGGATGCCGGCTAGGGCAACTACCTTTCTTCATGCACGGCCAACCCGCGTTTCCCAGGCCCTGGTCCCACGTAAGCCATAGTGAAAAAGATGCCAAGAAGTGCTTCGCAGGGGTTTAGGATTCAGGGTTTAAGGTTTAGGGTTTCGAGTTTAGGGTTAGGGAGTACTTGCATTAACACCACTGGGGTGCATCAGGTACTGCCACGGGCGATTGGCTGCTTGCATGTGACCTTGCCGTCGTGATGAAGCAAAAAGGACTCGTGATGCGCCCCTGTCTTTGGGAGTGAACGCAGTGGGGCTGTCAAGAACGACAAGTGTCCCGACAGCTCCTTGCAAGACCTCTTTTTCATACATACAGACCTGTTTACACGCAATGGCAGCAAGCCTTCCAACTACAGGCCCCAAGCACTAAGTTCTCTCATGTCCGTTCTAGACTCAATCGTACGTCGCCACACCCTCAGCCCTAAATCTAGGTTCTCATCCTGTCTCATCCCTATACTTCAGCGCATGATTTCGGGATGGGTCCACAGGTAGTTGCAAGATGGGTGTTAAATGTTCATAGGGGTTGCCCTGTTTAATAGCCGCAGTTCTGAGTAATCCCCACCCCCTAATATTGAATCCTGCCCCGACCCCCTAATATCAAATACTCCCATTGTTAGTTATATTCCAGTTAATGGGGGGGGGGGGGGGGGGGGGGGGTATTTAATATTAGGCGGGGTAGGGGGGAGGTTAATGTTAGGGGGAGGGGAGTACCCTTGACGAACTTTCAAGAAGTTCCTTTGGACAGCCAGACCGCAAACCCAAAACCCTTAAACTTACACCCTAACCCCTAAACCCTACACCCTAAACCCTAAGACCTAAACCGTAAACCCTAAACCCTAAACCCTAAACCCTAAACCCTAAACCCTAAACCCTAAACCCTAAACCCTAAACCCTAAACCCTAAACCCTAATCCCTAAACCTAAACCCCTTTCAAGGAGTTCCTTTGGACAGTACCAGCTCCAACACCTGCGCCAACGCTTGCGCCGCGGTGGGCGCCTGGACGGCGGCGGCGGCACTGCTGGCCGGGGCCATGGAGGCAAGCGCCCTACCAGACGTGTCACTTGGCTAGGGTTTAGGGTTTCGGGTTTAGGGTTTCGGGTTTAGGGTTCAGGGTTCAGGGTTTAGGGTTTAGGGTTTAGGGTTTAGGGTTTAGGGTTTAGGGTTTAGGGTTTAGGAAGTTCAGGCGTTGTTTTTGTGCTCTTAAGGCAGAGAGGGGCTCTTGAAAGGTCGACCTTGAAGAGTAAACCTGCAAGGCCTCAGGGGTGTCCAAGATTTTGACCTGGGATTGGTTTGTAGAAAAGTGGATGAGGGAGTTCGTTAGTGAATGAATGTGGCTGAGAGTGAGAGAGTCAGCGTGGTGGAGAGAGAGCGGACATCTTCCTGGACTCGCTGGACACCAGGGCCAAAGACTATGAAGTGAACGCGACATCGGAGACCCCTAGCGATGAGCACCCTGAGAGCCCAAAAGAGGCAGAGCACCGTAAAGCAAGGTCGTGTCAGGACCGTGCGGACCCCCTGAAGCCCTGCAGCACCCTGAGTTCACCTCTACATGAAACCTACATCCCTGCAGTCGAAGAACCTCATCTTGAGCAACCCTAAACCCTAAACCTGAAACCCTAAACCCTAAGCCCTAAACCCTCAACTCTAAACCCTGGGAATTGGCAGCTTAGGATCGGCTTGAATAGCGCTTTGAAGTCTTGTGCGGCGGGCGAAGCTTGGCAGTCTCCCGGCACCTGCAGCTTACGGGAGTTCACAGAAGCGTTAAGGAGTTTAGGGTTTAGGGTTTACTGCTATTTGCTTAAGAACCCCAAAAGAATAAACAATGATAATCCCTATATTACCCTTCATAAGGAAGAACATTTTTTTCGGGGTTCTGAGGCAACTAGTAGAAAAGCGTTAAGGTTTCTTGGTTTGGGGGCATTCGGGAGAAGTGCGTTGACTTTTGAGTCAGATTTAAGGATTAAGAGTGTCGAGGTCTGTTGATGAAGAAGGTCTTTAGACTGATGTCTTGCTTTGCGCTTGAGACGTTGTCGATTGCGGTCCGGTGGCACATTTCCCCTTGGGCCAATATGTTTCTTCGGTAGGACTGGGAATGTTTGGGAACCTGATTTCGCTATGCCTTCGGCTTCGCATATGGAGATGTCCTAGTCGCATCCAGAACTCTATCCAATATCAATTCCACAGTCGCATCCGAAGTCGCACGAAATCGCATCCGAGTGAAATGTTTTTTTGTCTCTTTGTACGATCTAGCTGCCGTTTTAGTCTCCCGCCCCCGCTGCGAATATCCAACATGCATTGAAATCCAGCCGAGCTTCAGAACTGTCACCCTGTTACTATAGTCACCGGAACCCGTCGTATATACACATACATATACATGAAGTTTATCTGCTGATTAAGAATCCTCGTGAGCCGAAATTCCCGAGCAAACCGAACAAGAAACACAATTGCATATGCATACATACATACATACCTACATACATACATACATACATACATGTATACATACATACATACATGTAGACATACATACATACATACATACATACATACATACATACATACATAGATACATACATACATACATACATACATACATACATACACACACGTGTGTGATGTCAGCATAAGACGGGCTCAACAAGAGATCCGACTCTCGAGATGCTGTTGACAAAAACCCAAGCCTGAAATCCGATCGACGTCCTTTGGCCCAGGCAGGCTTGCCTCTTGCTTCAACAGATGCCTGCGATGCACGCCCAGCCAACAGCACCTGGGCACACTTATATACAGGGCTTCGAATTTCCGAAAATAGGTGGTGCTGTACCCTTTTCTTGGGGGTCCCTTTAAGGGGACTCTAGTCTGTTTGGGGTATAAATGGGGTACCCCTATTTTGGGAAATGCCCAGATGAAGCCAAAAGGTGCTCCAAGTTCCCAGCCAAGCTCATGAGAGCCAGCGTTACACGTAGATACAGATCAGCCCGATAGAGGCCCCCCCACCAAGGCTCGGGGGCTGAGGAACTTGCGGGTTTGATGATGTTTAAAGCCCTCAACCCTCAACCCTCAACCCTCAACCCTCAACCCTCAACCCTCAACCCTCAACCCTCAACCTAAACCCTAAACCCTAAACCCTAAACCCTAAACCCTAAACCCTAAACCCAGTCATAAGCCCCAGGCTCGGAGCTACAGCAGTTCCATCACCGCCGCTTCCTCGCGGCACCTTGGCACCGAGGAGCCTTCTGGTGGCTTGGGCTAGGGGGTCTGAGATGGTTCGAGGTTCGGGCTGTAGGGTTTAGGGTTTAGGGCTTAGGGCCTAAGGGTTTGGGGTTTAGGGTTTGGGGTTTTGCGTTTTGCGTTGCGGGGGGGGGGGGGCGGCTGGGGTCGTTTTTGGTACCATAAAGGCATCCCGGATCTGGGGCCCCGTAGGATGGGTTGCCTAACTATGACCCTAAACCGAACATTGGCGCCATGCGTCACGTGAAGTAGGATGCCTACAGCGGCGGGTTTTGAGGCGGTCTGTGTACTCGTCTTCTTGAAGTTGGAACCTAGACGCGCAAACCTGTTCGCAACGCTAAGGGATATGCTTTCACGGCCCCAGCGTTCGGGTTTAGAGTTTTTCGAGGGTTAGTGTGGTAAGATTAGGCTGGTGAAGAGTCTTGCCAATAGTTGTCACTAAGTTTGTTAGGTCCAAAGTATGAAATGGATTGAGATGACACCATCGCTCTCACTGTGCTACAAGTACTGCAAGTAGACCCATAACATCTGTAAATCCAGTGTTAAACCCGTGTTAAACCCAAAATCAGCTAGACGCTATAAGCTTTCAACCCTAAAGCCACGAAGCCTTCATCATACAGCCGGCAAAGCTACAATGCCCTGAACTCCGGAAATCCCGACCTGATGGCCTTCACTGGTTTCGCGTGAACCCAAGACCTGCCATGTGGATTCATTGGTTTGTCCGCACGGAGGTCCTGGCCACGCGCCCTGGACCTCTGCACGCCACACTTGGCTGCCGCAAGCCTGGTTTGCCGCAATGGCGTCGCAGCTGGACAGAACCCGGATCTCAGGTCAAGAAATACAGTAATATAGTAATATCGTATTATAGTCATATAGCAATATAGTCATATAGCAATATAGTCATATAGCAATATAGTACTATAGTAATATAGTAATATAGTAATATAGTAATATAGTAATATAGTAATATAGCAATATAGTAATATAGTAATATAGTAATATAGTAATATAGTAATATAGTAATGTAGCAATATAGTAACACAGTAACATAGTAACATAGTAACATAGTCATGTAGTAATATAGCAATAGAGTATGGTTCAGTCGAGCGTGGAGCCTCAATCCGAACGTGTAACGCCCCCTAGACCCTGACTCGCTGGACCCGAAGTCCCTTATGTGAGCCCAAAGGGCTCCTCCAAGCTCCTCTCTAAGCTCCTCTCAGCTCGCTAAGCTCCCTCCTTTCAGCTCCTAAACCCTAAACCCTAAACCCTAAACCCTAAACCTCAAACCCTAAACACTAGAGCTCCTCTCTAAGCTCCTCTTAGAAGCCGCGAAGGTGGCCGCTGCCTCGAATGCGGGGCACTGGGCTCACGCCGGCGCGTTGTTGACAGCGCTCCGCCAGGAGGCCCCTCAATCGTACGGTTTAGGGCTTAGGGCTTAGGGCTTTAGGGCTTTAGGGCTTTAGGGCTCTAGGGCTTTAGGGCTTTAGGACTTTAGGGCTTTAGGGCCTGTGGGGCGCGTCAAGCCCTCAGTTCCTGACAGAAAGCCAAGTGCATAAAAAGCCCCTTCCGAGGCCGGGAGCCGTACACTGTGCGGAACATGATAAGCCGCGTGTTACTGTGAAGTCTCAAATGCCACATCCAAGCCTAAGTGCAAAGGCGTTATAAGGCTTTGGGGATTACCCTAAGGGTCCATGTACCTAAATAGGGAGTACGTGGACCTTAAAGTACTTGCTATATAGGGACTTTGGGGCCCAAGTGTATAATAGTTAGGTACATGGTCCCTTAGGGTTAGGGTGTAGGGTTTTTTGGGACGATGGGCCGCAGGCCTGGCACAACTGCAAGACCCTCCAACCCTGGGCTCCGAAAAACTAGACTGCAGGTTTTTCAGAGTCTGGGGTTTCGCGGTTTTTGGGGTTTCGGGTTAGGCTTATTTGGATGTGTGCAATTTTTAATTTACGTATATATATATATATATATATATATTTGTGTAAATGGATCGTATGTGTACGTAATTTAGCAAGGCCATCCACATGAGCTTTGCATGCTTGTGTGTTTTTGATAGAAATACCGGCTTAATGGTACAAGTAGTGTAGTGGCTATGACTGACCTCCAATTATGTTAACGACCTTAATTAAGTGATTTAGCGAATTAACTTGGGAGTGCCCAAACGTGATCAATGCATTGTTTGATGAGTTCCATTACCCAACTGATTAAGAATGTGATTTGAAATGAGACCGGTTGTTGTTAACCAACGCCTACATGAAACTCCGCATATGTTGCCTTGTATACAAATACATACGGCACGGCATATGCGACTCATTGTCATAACTTCTTGAAAATATTCGTAGTCATATGAGTGCCCACCCCAAGTAAGATAATTTGATGAACCGAACTTCATATTTTATGCTTTGACCAGCAGGGAATATTGGAAGAGAATGAAGGACAGCTATCGGGACAGCAGCGGCACCAACAGCCATGGTATAATCAGGGTGTAGTCGTTTTTGTAGTGAATTTCAATGTTACTGGCTTGAAATTGTGAACAGCCCTCTCGTTTATGTAGTGAAAAGATAGAACTTATCGGATTATACTCGTACTATTTACATATATTAGTTCCCACAAGATGAAAATGCAAAAGTTTGCATTGGGTTCGTCAATTGTACTCAACCCAATGAAAACGTTTGGATTCTAAACTTGGGGAAGTAATATTGGTTTCCATGAGTTCTTCGCTATTCACCTAATATGACATCGTTTGTAAGTTACAAGCTCCTGACTTGAAGTTTTCGGATCGGATGCCTCATTGGCTGTCCTTCATTCTCTTCCAACATCTCCGGCCATTTTATCAGTATAACTTTTAAACATACTTTGCCTCCATTCATGCTCACCAAATTGTATGAATTATTACATGTGTCAACTTAGGGTGGAGGCTTCCAATATTCCTGGCCTTTGAAATAGTAGAGTGTATTTCAGAAATAAAGCAGATCTCCGCTAGCAAGGACCAGAATGCAGACAGCTTTGCCTTCTTAGGTTTGTGGCCCTACCTTTACGGTTCAAAGTTCAATGTTCTGTGAAGAGTAGAAATAATTCAATTAACAAAGCTGGCCACTCATTTTGCTCGTCATCTCATGCTGTTCCTCACAACAGATACGTTATGTCAATCAAGTCTTAACGAAGCGTAAAGAGCGAGTTTTCTATCGAAGCTTTACACAAGATAAAAGCCGTTTAAAGAGCACGTAGCTAGTACAGTACAGGTGTAACAAGCAAAGGCTAGGCAGGTCACGGGGCAGTGGAGGGTACCACATGTAAACACGTATGTATGTATGGTTCTGCTATACCTACTGTACCCGAAAAAGCCGCATTGCCCCAAAATCTTCGCCTTACCCTGATGCCCTGAGGTCGTGCCCAACATCGTCAGCTTCGGTGGGGCCATGGGACCATGGCCACAAGCAGCGGCGCTTTTGGGCGCCGCAGCGTCTTTGCGGTACCAGGGCTGCCATGGACGGAGAGACACAGAGACAGAGAGACGGAGGGACAGACCCACCTGCCCGCCCGCTCGCGCGCGCACACGTGCGCACAATCGCACACTGCACGGATCTTTGTAAGAAGAAGCTCGTACCAATCGACACGCTGATCTGCAACAGGAATGCAACAAGAAGAGGCGATCCGAGGCGGCCCAACTGCCCATCACTGTCATTCAAGAAGTCGGATGCTCATGCTGGTCGTATTCTTTGCACTACTTCTAGCAATGGTTGCCGGTTCGTGGCTTCGCTGTCGGCTGGCCCGTAGCAGAAACCCCTGTCAATCGATGGGTCCGCAACAAAAATTAAGTAAGAACATCGACAGCGACGTTCCCTCATGCGCGACTTAGGCCCGACAACTAGAGTTGACGGTCGCTCATACTGCATCATGATCATCATGATGAATAAGCCACTCCTGCGCTGATTCCTGGCAGGGGCCGAGACACGCACAGAGACATACAGACGAAAAGAGGCACAGTCGCCCAGAGACAATATACAGACACACAGTAGTGGCATGCAGACACGCGCAGACATACGGTCACGCTCAACGTACAGACACACAGAGACGCAGACGCACAGGCACCGACAGAGACAACGGCACGCAGAGACACTCAAACGGACAGAGATACACGGAAACAGACCGAGACACGCAGACACCAATTGATACACAGACATGGAAACACAGAGCACGACCACAAGCCTGCATGCATCAGCAGGCAGAATCTCCAATCTTTGCTCAAGGATTCGCCCCAACGCGGTGCTTTACAACAGCGTCGCCAATGCCTGCGGCGAGGACTTTTCTCCAATTGTGAGCCCAAGCCCTGTGGCGTTTTTTCCACCTGAAGATGCACCTCCTTACTTGGAGTTTCATGGTACTTCTTATCCAGCTACAAAACTGTACTTATGACCCACGTTATGACTCCCTTTAAGTGCCCTCATAAGGTTATGATTGGGTTATAAGTACAGTTATAAATGGGTTCACAAGTACTATGAACCTCCAATTAGAGAGGTTCTCCACAATCGGCCACCTGCCTCGTTCCCCTCCCTCGCGGGCCTCCTGCGTATCTACCCGGGAAGCTTCAAGTAACACATGGGTATTTCCCAAAATAGGAGTACCCCTTCTACACCCCAAATAGTATAGACTCCCCTTACAACCACCCTCAAAAAGGGTATCCCTACTTTCGGAAACCCCCATCTAGTAACGTCATGAAGCCCTCACCCCATGCCTCTGAAACCTGCGCGGCTGCAGAAGGAGGATTGCTGGGCCTTGGCACGGGCTTCCCTTGAGGACATGATCCACGCTCCCGGGCTGAGGAAAGCTTAAGGTTGATACGTTGTCCAGGCGCACTCCCCCCCCCCCCCGCCCATCAGCGTTCCTGTGACACAGGCTGGGGCAATAGAAGGGTCTAAACGTTGAAGGTTTGCGAAGATATAACCTCCCAGTAAGAAAGAGTCGGGACCTTGCATTGCCCAGAGTTTGGGTTTAGGGTTTAGGTTTTTGGAAGGGCTTTCCGAATCTCTCAAGGTCTCGGGGTTTCCACGTTCTGGGCTTCGAAGGCTTAGGTGGCTTTGGGAATTGGACTTCGGGGCTAGGATTTGCCCGGGTGCCCTAAACCCTAAACCCTAAACCCCCCAAAATATTCTGTGTTTCCAGTGAGAGCTGAGCCATGCCCCAGGTTTCCACCACACCCACCATTGTCACCTACAACAGTCTCATCCGAACGAGCGCACAGCAAGGGCAGTGGGACCGCTCCTTGCTGATGCTGGAGGCACTTTGGTTCAATTCTTAGGTCGTGTCTTAAGATTCGCATGCATCCGACGGCATCTTGCCAGGGCAGCAGCTGATGGCAAGTTCAAGTCACCGGTCACTCCTCAAAACGGCTTTAAGCTTCAGCGGCTTTGAACTTTGGTACGGCACTTTGTTCCTGTGGCCGAGATCATGCTGACCGCGACCATCTCTCCTGATGCGATGAGCTTCAACTCGGCCATTGCCGCCCTCGCGGAGGCCCGAGCTTGGGGGAAGTTGGGTGGCGCCTCGAAGATTGGCAAGGACCGTAGGCTACCAACCTTATCGGCACGCGGCTTGAACTTGCAAAAACCCTTGTGGATCGATGCAGCCTGCCCCGAATTTCCGAAAGCCCTTTATTATTGCTATTGCTTTTTTTCACGCTTTTCTCATTCTCTCAACTCCCAGCCTTGCATTCTCTCAACTCCCAGCCCTTGCTCAAAACTCCAAGCCTTGCTGCAACGTCCTACAACATCGCAAGGCCCGACAGAGGCAACCTAACGCAGCAAGCTTTTAGGGTTCTAGGGGCTTTAGGGGTTTAGGGCTTTAGGGCTTCAGGGTTTAGGGGGCAGATTGGCATCGCCTCTTTTGCCACTAAGCGACATCTGCGACAACAAGAAATGCGACAACATTGAAAGTACGTTTTACATGCCTCATGTCATTGACACGAACAAGAATGGCGCGATCCTGGTTGCACGTCTACTCGTGAAGGGCGGCCAGCTGCAGGGTCACGGCCGAACTCGATGCATTTTTCTTTGTTTGCTATGCATGGTGTTCAAAATTCTGCGAACATCGGCTTGTGAAACAGCGGAAAGGCTGTCACCGATGCATCTGCAAACTTCCCTCCCAGCTTTCTCAACAACGAAAGAAGCGTCGACCTGCAAGCAATACAGCATGTTGGTGGCCGAAACCCGAAACCCTAAACCGTACACCTCGTGCCCGAGCAGCTCCACCCTCTGTGAGTGCCGATGGCTGCAAACAGCGAGTCTGCTGGCGGCTGTCCCTTTGCCGGGCCTCAATCGCCTTCTCGTGCTTGCAGAAGAGAGCCCATACGGGCGGCAAGACGGAGGTTGTCCGTCTGACTTCGGTCACTGGTCGTTGCAGCTTTGGAGCTCACTCCGCGGCATGTCCAGAAACAAGCTCGCAGAGCGAATCCACATTGAAGAACTCCACGTGGTTGAACTTATAGTGATGTCTCAAGAAGCCGTTGCCAACCCTAAACCCTAAACCTTAGACCCTAATCCTCGAACCCTGAACCCTGAACCCTAAACCCTAAACCCTAAACCCCAAACCCTAAACCCTAAACCCCAAACCCCACCACTCTCAGAGCGAGGCCTCCGACTGGAAGCAGGCCCTGGGCTTGCTTCTTAGCATGGCCAAGAGGCGCGTCCGGGCTCCTAAGCCCAGAAATTGAGGGTTTAGGGTTTAGGGTTTAGGGTTTAGGGTTTAGGGTTTAGGGTTTAGGGTTTAGGGTTTACAGGCCTGAATCTTCTCTACTAGGAGCCAGAGCAGGCCCTGGGTTTAGGGGGGCAGCCTTTCTATGTCTGCGTTGCTCTTGGGGCGTCTTCAAGGATTTGGGTTTACGGATGACGTTAACGTAGCTCCATTATCCTGAGTCACAGGGTTTAGGGTTTAGGGTTTAGGGTTTAGGGTTTAGGGTTTAGGGTTTAGGGTTAGGGTTTAGGGTTTAGGGTTTAGGGTTTAGGGAATCCACTATAGTCTGGGCTCTAGACAGGATTAGGGCTTCAAGGGATGTCACATCGAGGCGCGGCCATGCCGCATTGAAGAAGTGCTGACGCCAGCGCACCGTGCGCGCGTGTAATATAGTGTCGGAATATTTGCGAAAAGTATTCCCTTGCGGCTCGGTTATAATTATACGATAATAACCCCCGAAAGCACTATTCGAATTCTTAAGTCTCATAGCAGTCTTCAGAGTATTCCCTTATGGTCCCTTACTATTTAGACTTTGATAACCACAAAAACCCTGTTCTAATCATTAAGGCCCCGTTAGTAGTCTTCGAAGTCTTCTGCCAGCCCTCCCATCGGGTACCACTCGAGAGGCAGTTGCTCCCGGACACGGTCACCTACAACTCGGCACCTCGTCCACTAAACCCTAAGCCCCTCAAGCCTTTAAGGTTTAGGGTTTAGGGATTAGGGTGTAGGGTTTAGGGTTTAGGGTTTAGGGTTTAGGGTTTAGGGTTAGAGTTTAGACCCTGGCATGGTCACGGCGGTTCATACCAGGGTTCTCAAATCGGCGCTCTGCCTTCGCAGTTCCCACAAACCCTCGGAGCGCTGTTCACAACCCCCCCCCCCCCCCTCGATGTCCGTACCTTGAAAGGCTGGCCTTGGATTGCTCAGGTGTCTTATTAGCCGAGTAGATAGCCTTTAACCTTCCGGGGTATATAAAATCTACCCAGAATCGAAAGGTTAACCTTTCATTTTGGGCCAAGGTACTCCGCAACTAAGGTGTTGAACGTGTGCGCGAAGGATGGCCAGTGGAGGGTCGCACTCGTCATCTTTGACTGCATGGAGCGGGTCGGCGTGATGCCGAATGAAATCAGTTGCTCGAACCTAAACAGCAGGTGCTCTTTACATTGATATGTATAAGTATGTGTGCATATACACCTCTTTCAATACCCAGTTAGGAAGGAAAAATGCTCTGTTACAAAGGGTAAAGCCTAAACGCTTGGATGTTTCAGCCATACTCGTTGGAAACATGCGCAAGCCTCGCCCAAGTAGAAGCTTTCCCCTGCAACCCTGAATTCCCAAGTCGGTGCAAGACCGAAGTAGCAGCCTGCTTGGACTTGATATGAAGGGAAGCCTGATAGAATTCGGCCCTAACAAGACTCCCTAAGTAACAACAATGAGGAGTGGAAGTGCAGCGAAGTTCTTCGCCGAGATCTAGGAACGCCCTGGTGACAGCCCCCAGGCCCCGGAAGAGTTCTTGAAGGCGTCTAAACCACGAAACTAAGCCCTAAACCCTAAACCCTAAACCCTAAACCCTATACCCTATAAGCCTAAACCCCAAACCCTAACCCTAAACCCTAAACCCTAAACCCTAAACCCAAGAGTCCTCCGAGGTTACAGCAGCCTCCTCAGTGCCTGCGACAAGGGCGGGCGCTGGCAGCTGGCCCTCGGCTTGCTCCGAAGCCTCCAGCGGCGCCAGGCGGCGTGGGGATCGCAGTTCCTGGCTTTGTGGGCTCACCCTAAACCCTAAACCCGAAACCCGAAACCCGAAACCCTAAACCCTAAACCCTAAACCCTAAACCCTAAACCCTAAACCCTAAACCCAAATGGGGTGTAAGACGGTTAAAGTACTTCTTAGCATGTCTTAGGGTTGCTGGCTTTCGGGAGGTTACTTCACTTGAGTTAGCGGAGCCCTTGTCCCTTCTGGGCAGTATTACCACGAGCCTCCCCATGAGAGGATTGCCGAAGCAGGGTTTGTGAACAGTTTTGAAGCTCGAGAAGGCTTTCCTCTGGGTCAATGTTAAACATCATTTTCTTCTTTTATGAATACCTAAGCCCAGTAAAGAACAGACATGATCATTTTTAAATGGTAGCCCAACAATCGTGCAGCACTGTCGCAGATGGACTGGGACCCGGAGTAGGCCCTTTGTCCTTTTTTATGGTTGGGGTTCCCTTATAATCCCCTTAAAAACCAAAAAGGGTACCTTTTTCACCTGGGTCTAACCCTTAACCCTTAGCCCTAAACCCGAATCCCTAAACCTAAACCTAAACTCAGAACCCTGAACCCTAAACCCTAAACCGGGTCTAGGGGAGGCTTTCTAGCTCCAGGTGCTGCCAGGCATCATGAGCTTCAACAGCGCCATCAGCGCCTGTGGGCGCGGAGGCGCCCGCATGTACCAGGAACCTTGAGGAGTTTACTAGGGTTTAGGGTTTAGGGTTCGTTTAGGGTTTAGGGTTTAGGGTGCAGGGTTTAGGGTTTAGGGTTTAGGGATCAGCTTTGAGAGATTATTCTTGACGGTCGCAGGTGACTGGATGACACCGATTCCGGGCCCGCCTGTTCCATGCGTAACTTTATACCCCATGTGCCCATATGGGTGGTTCCCGAAATTAGGGTTACCTTTTTGGGCTCCTTATTGCTTTTCAGAGCGTCACACTGGTCAGGTGCTTCACCACCTGGGTCCCTGACTAAACTAGCCGGGGGGGAGGGGGAGGAGTACCTTGCACGCGCAGGTCACTGGTGGCGCTTCTTATCTCTTCTTTGTCCCTGGGCTGCACTGGACAATATGGTAGCATCGCAGGGCGCAACACCACTAGCATCCAAAAAAAGGCGTTCAAGTCTTGACAAGATTTGGGCTTTAGGGTTTATGTTTTAGGGCTTAGGGTGAGGTATACATGTTGAAAAAGCTATCTTCTTGCATGAACAACACCTGCAGGTTCGATGCCGCGGCCCGACGCCGTCACCTACAGCAGCGGCATCGCCGCCTGTGCGCTGAGCGCGGCGTGGCTGGGCTGGGTTTAGGGTTTATAGGGTTTAGGGTTTAGGGTTTTGGGTTTTGGGTTTGGGGTTTGCAGGATCTTCGGTTTCAGCTCTGGTTGGGCTCTTTTGTGTGAAGAGGCAAGGAGCTAAATTTATTGGCTTTATTAAGCGTCCAAGGGGGGTCACAGAAAACAACGAAACAGCAAGACGGGGCGAGTCTTAGTGGGTCGCTTGCCCACAGGTGGCGGATGACGGTTGCCTTGCTGCAGGCCAGCAAGGGAGCCGGAACTTGTCCTGGCCCATGTTGATCGGATGACGGAATGTTCTTGAAGCAAGCTCCGCTCGATGCCCTTTCACATGCAGAGCTGTTTGATCGGTCGGAGTCTCCTCGGAATTTTTGCAGCTCGCCCGGTTGCAGTACTTAGGTAGAGCCTCTTTCCATGTACCAGGCCGAGCATGATGGTTTACAAGAGTGTTCAAAACGAGCGCCCTGAGAAACAGAACTGCCTCTGCACTGGCCGGTGGCTCCTCAAGACCCTACCTCCGTTCATCCCCTCCCCCTAATATTGGGCCCCCTTGTCCCCCAATCTCAAGTACTCCCAGCATAGTGATATTACAGTATATGGGGTGGGGGGGGGGGGTTATCTAGTATTAGGGGGGTAGGAGGGGGTTTAATAGATCAGGGGGAGGGGATGAAGCCCAATCCCCAATCATCCTCAGTCCTTTGCTCCAGGGCATGACGCAGCGGCACCTCATCCGTGGCCTCCTTTGCTATGTCTCCGTGCTCTCTGCATGCCAGCGCAGTGGGCTCTGGCGCCGTCCGCTGGCCCATCTGAGTTTGGAGCCAGGTGCCTTTGTTCCAAATCTCGTGCTGAGTTGCATTCAGATGCTTGGACTTTAGGGAGCTCAGTCAGGTCTGATCCAGTCTCTGGGCTTTCTGCGGGCTTTGGGCCAGGCTTTCTTACTGCATTTTTCTTCCGACGTTGTGCGAACTTCGGCATCCGGGCTAGCTTCCCAGCCCAAGCCTACCAGAATCCTACTCTCAGAATAAGCAATTACTGCCTGGTTTCATGTTCAAAAGCATGTTCCGAGAAACAGCATAGGTTGCCTCAGAATACGGTACGGCACTTTCTGTAGATTGCCTTTTTATGACAAGGCCCCACCATCGGCTGAAGCACAGACAGGCGCTTGGGACGTGGCATGTTTCAACAACGGCCTCGGCGTGTGCGCCCGTGCCAGCAAATGGAGGTGCGCTCATGATACCCATGCCACTTGAGGGCGATATGCCTCGAGGGGTGACAGCCAGTGGCAGCTTGAACTGCTTGCGCTCCTCATTCATCCTAGATGCCCGAAAACCCCACATCTCAAAGAACCCCAGACGTAGACTCTGGCAGCCAAGTAGGAAGGTATGTGGTGTTGCCCTAAACCCTAAACCCTAAACCCTAAACCCTAAACCCTAATCCCCAAACGCTGAGCAGCCCCGAAGCTGGAAGGCGCGCCGTTGCCGTCTTGGACACTATGCTCAGACGCCGCTACGTCCCGGATGCCATGAGCTTTGGGTCCAGCACCTCGCACACTCAGCGATAGAAGACAAGAATCCCCAGGAAGCTGGAAATCCCCTAGACCCTAAACCTGAACCCCAAACCCCAAACCCTAAACCCTAAACCTTAAACCCTAAACCCTAAACCCTAAACCCTAAACCCTAAACCCTAAACCCTAAACCCTCAGAAACCGCATGCCAGGTAATCCCCTCCCTCCGAGAATTTAAACCCCCCCTACCCCCTAATATTACATTCCCCAAAATAGGGGTAGTTACTATGAGGGGGTAGGAGGGGGTTTAATATTCGGGGGAGGGGATAGCCCCTTGGCCATCATGTAATCAGGCGATTTTACTTTGGACCCCTAAGATTGCACCCGTGGGTTTGGGGACCCTTTTTCAAGATCCTTTCAGGGATCATAAGAGCCATATGAGGAGACCTCCACCCCCCCCCCCCCAGCCCTGCCCCGCCCCACAAAGCCTTAGGCAGCCGCGGCGGGGAACCGAGCTTTAAAACCCTGAACAGATTAGTACCCTAAACCCTGAACCCTAAACCCTAAACCCTAAACCGTGAACCCTAAACCCCAAGCCCAATCCCAACCCCATGCGCTGAGCCACAACCCTGAGGCATCCGAGCCCTTGCTGAGGGAGGCAAGTGGAAAGAGGTGCTTGGCCAGTGGGTTTCATGATGAGGGGCTTCGAGTTTCGGGTTGAGGCTGTATGGTGTTTAGGGTTGTAGGGTTTAAAGGGGCTTAGACTAGAGTGGGATCCGTCTTTCCCCATTGTGACAGAATTGCCCAGTCCTTCGTCCCCTGCAGCTGATTTAGGACTCATTGCGGAACATAGGGCTTCTCTCTGTGGGATGATCTGGCCACAGACGCAGCACCTGCACCCCTTCATGAACATCCCTCGCGGCATCCACCCGGGGCCGCGTCTCCACAAACCCAAACCTCCTTGCAAACAGACCTCCCCCACCTCACCCCCCCCCCTAGCAAGCAACAAAAAAAAAAGAGGCTTGTACCCCCTTACACCGAAGCCCTTCAATCTTAAAATCCCAAGAACACCCCTCAAATAAGCCGCGGCATGCCCCACAACTCCCAGAACCATAAACCCTAAAGCCCAAACCCCTAAACTACATCCCCCTCAAGATTGCTTCGTCCTTTCTGTTTATATAAAACCAAAAAGGGTATTAACTTGATATATATTCCTTAAGGTTCTAAGGGGAGTTAAGGGAGTAAAAAAAAAAAAAAAAAAAAAAAAAAAAAAACTCCACCGAAGCTGGGAAGTTGCAGCGCCCAAAAACACTGAAAGCCCGTGAGGCCGCTAACCCCGAAAAAGCAACTTGAGAGCTAGAACCCTGATCTCCCCTCCCTTTAGGGTTTAGGGTTTAGGGTTTAGGGTTTAGGGTTTAGGGTTTAGGGTTTAGGGTTTAGGGTTTAGGGTTTAGGGTTTAGGGTTTAGGGTTTAGGGTTTAGGGTTTAGGGCTCAAAGTTTAGGAATTCCAAAGCCCTCCTCAACCCCAGATCAAAGAGCCTGTACAGTGGCAGGTGCTGGAGCTTCTGGCTGCCATGGACGCTTCGGCTCTGACGCCCGAGCTGATCACGCCGCCGGTCCGCGAGGGCGGACGTGGAGTGTAGGTTTTTGGAGAGGGTTTTGCGCGGGTCTTGGGGGGGGGGGGGGGGTCTAGGAGTTTTTGGATGCCGGGTTTCGGGTTTGAGGAGCTTTGGGCGAGTTTTGGGCGCAGGGTATCTTTTTAAGCCCTTCAGGTTTTGAGTTGCCATGGGTGCAAGACCTGAGATGCCCAGCTGGAGGTTTCCGGCTGGGTTGCAGGCATGCTTTTCCGAGTCCCGACAGCCCGCTCAGAACTTTCACGCGCGCAGTCGAACTTACAAAGCATCGAGGAAGCAAGCGCAAAGTGAATGTCGCAAAGCCTGCGTCACGTACCGCTGTTGAACGACATGCCACGGCATCCATGCTTATTGTCCCCACCACACAGCGTAGTACCGGGCCGGGATTTGGTATGGGGTACGGGTTTCCCTAAACCCGAACTTTAAGCCCTGAACACTCAGCCCCAAACAGATGCAGATGCAAATCCTCAACTGTCTCCCCTGTCAGAAGCCTCTGCCACCCGCCTTAAGGTACAGTTTTTGCATGGCAGCTTGCAATCGCGGTGGGCAGCAACTGGGACTTCTGTGGCTCAGAGGATTCAGGGTCTCAGGAGCTTACCCTAAACCCTAAAACCTAAATTTACTAAACCCTTTAGGCTTTAGGGCGTAGGGTTTCGGGTTCCAGGGCGTCTCATGGACTTCGGGCCTTGGACGTACGAAGGTCTTCTTGGATCTTGGGCTGCGTAGGGATTCGATGCTTTCCAGCGGTTTGGGACAGGCGCAGGCCTTTTCTCCCCCTAAACCCTAAACCCGAAACCCTAAACCCTACCAGCGAAGGTTCATGGACTGGAAAGAAGCAATGTCAATCACGCGAAACATGTCGGGCTGCGGGTTGCGAGGGTATTCGAGTGTTCGTGGGGCTTTGGGGTTAGGGCAAAGGCATTTGTGTCGGGTTAGAGCAAGACACCAGCAACCAGGCATTGAAAACACCCCCCAAGTCCCACTCGAGCCAGCACAACCCTAATCTCTGCCCTAAACTCTAGACCCTAAACCCTGAACCCTGAACCCTAAACCCTAAACCTGAACCCTAAACCCTAAATTTGAGTCCTTGCAAAGGTACCGCCAATCTTTCCGGGTCTTGGCAGCCATGGCCAGCAGGTGCCTGGGAGGGGGGGGAGGGGGGGGGTTGGGGGGGTCCTCCTGAAACCTCTCTCATAGTCCTCTAGGCCTCTAGGACCCGGAGTACGCCCTTTCCCTTTTTAGGGTTGGGGTCCCTTATAATCCCCTTACAACCAAAAAGGGCACCCCTTTTTTGTTCCTAGGTTACTTCTGGGTCTAGTCCTGAATGTCCTAAAGCAGCAAGATCTGGGGGTTTCCGAAACTAGGGGTACCTTTTATTATAAGGGAACCCTACTATTTGGGAGGACTGTCTTAGTAATGGGTCCCTTATGTTTCGTAATCCCCCATATGAACTGGTATGCCTGACGTGATCCATGATCCATGTGTGCTTTCTTCCCTTTGCCATAAGGCGCAGCACTGGAGCAAGGCCTCCTAGAACGTCTCGGATCCTTATTCTGACAATCGTGAGGCACAAGTACCTGAACTACTATTTGCTTAAGAACCCCCCCAGAAACAAAAAACGATAATCCCTATATTGCCCTCATAAGGAAGAACGTTTGTGTGTGTGTGTGTGTGCGCGGTGTTTTTTTTTTTTTTTTTTTTTTTTGGGGGGGGGGGGGGGGGTTGGGGGGGGGGTGGGGGGGGGGGGGGGTGGGGGGTTCTTAAGCAATTGGTAGTGAATCCTAACCCGGACTAAACCAGGCCCGATGCATGTCCGAAGTAGACTTTCTTGGCCCTACAGACTACTATTTGCTCAGAACCCACAGAAAATGAAAAGCTTCCTTCCTTATAGGGGAATATAGGGATTGTTGTTTTTTTGTTGTTTGGGGGTTCTGACACAACAGAATGAACATCGTAAGAAGCAGAGAAGTATCTTGAAACAACGCAAGCGAAGCTCAAGCCCAAGCGCCATGAGCCACCGGAGCCCCGAACTTCCTCGAAGATTTAGGGTTTAGGGTTTAGGGTTTAGGGCTTACTTGTAGGGCTTAGGGTTTAGGGTTTACGGTGCGAGCGTGCCTAGTCCTGGATGTTCACAAGGCGTCTGGGTGCCGACGTCGTCGCCTTGGGCTGCGGCCTAGAGGCAGATTTGGGAGGTTTCCGAAATTAAGGGTACCTTATTGGGGGCCCTGCGAGGTTTAGGGTTTAGGGTTTCGGGGTTGGGGGTTTAGGGTTTGGGGGTACCTTATTGGGTCCTTATCGTAAAGAAATCCTTGAGGGTTTGGGCGTCTGGGTCCTTAGAGCGTGGGGCCTGGGATGTGCAGGCTGGGTAGCGGTTCAGGGTTTGGGTTTTGCTTGGGGATAAATTTTAGATTCCCTTCGACCCTAAAAAGGGAACCTATTCATAGATCATTTTCAAAGGGTTCAGGGCTGGAGTTTTAGGGTCTTACGACTTCAGGTTTGGAGCTGCAGCTTCATCGCGCCTTAGGCTTCAGAATCAAGATCACGCACCTCTAAACCCCACAAACCCTTAACCCCAATCCCTAAAACCCCAAACCCTAAACCCTAAACCCTAAACCCTAAATAACCCTAAACCCTAAACTCCAAACCCCAAACCCTAGACACCAAAGAGCGGCACAGCACAGCAAAGGCTCTCGGACAGCGCAGTCTTGTTTGCATAGGCTTAGGCTCAGCTCGACCCCACCAGGCCACCGAATCCTTGCCAAACACCGAATCCCAGTACTTTCTTCCCCGGCCGACCAAAATAAATAGATAAATGGTATACTAGAAAATACAATAAGATAGCCAAAAAGACAAGAAAATCACGAGTCAAAACTCCTATTCTGGCAGAGCCCCCTTGTTATTTGCGGACAGCCCTAAAACCTAAACCCTAAACCCAAAACCCTAAACCCTAAACCCTAAACCCTAAACCCTAAACCCTAAACAGGCCGCAGAGGCAACCAGCAATGGCGTCAGCAGCTTCGCCGCAGTTCGGTCTAGGGAGCATTCGGTGGGTGGATGTCTGTTCCGTGGCTTCGGGTTGAAAGAGTTTAGGGTTTAGTGTTTAGGGTTTAGGGTTAGGGGTGTAGGGTTTAGGGCTTAGGGTTAGGGGTTTAGGGTTCAGGGTTTAGGGTTTTAGGAGGGTGCGTCAGACTGCATGTTTTTTATTTGCGGCGATAGCTGAAGCAAGCAACATGTGAACCTGGAAGAAGCTTTGTCTGGATCAGGTGTCGTCTTTATGTAGGGTTGAGAGTTGTGAATGCTGTCTACTCTCTTCGCTAAAGACCGCGGCAGAATTCTAAGGTGCGGGATTGAGGCCCTGTGCCCTAAACCCTGCACCGCCAGCATGTCAGGTGCTGCAAGTTTGGCGGCAGAGATCCACCGCCAGAACCTGGAAGCCCTTGCAGCGGCCAGAGAAAAGGAGCCAAGGTCTCAAGGAACAACCCTAAACCCCAAACCCTAAACCCGCTTGGAGAAATGGGGTCATTGCATAAAAAACAACCTAAACCCTATGCCCTAAATCCTAAACCCTGAACCCCAAACCGAAAACCCTAAACCCTAAACCCTAAACCCTAAACCCTCGTGAGCCCCGAAACTTTAAGCCGCACCGGAGGCGCCCAGCGTTGCCCGCTGCCATTGCCAGGCACCGGCGCTAGGAGTTAAGGGTTTAGGGTTTGGGGTTTAGGGTTTAGGGTTTAGGGTTTAGGGTTTAGGGTTTGGGGTTTAGGGTTCAGGGTTTAGGGTTTGGGGGTTTGGGGTTTGGGGTTTAGGGTTTGGGGTTTAGGGTTTAGGGTTTGGGAGGGCGAGCGCTCTAAGGTTCAACAAGTATTCGGTTTAGGGTGGGATCAGGTCAGGCTTCAACGGTTGAGAGGTTGGTTTTGGGCTTTATGAAAAAGCGCTTGTAAAGCTACTGCCATCCATGACATTTCTAAACATCCTTTGCGGTCATGATGGGTTTGGGGTGGCAGCCAAGTCTTCTCCTTAGTAATTGAGTGAGTACACGTTACACTTTTTGGGATACCCTAACCCCCCTCTCGAACTAAAGTGTACACATTTTGGGGGCTTATGAACTCAGCAACTAAGTCTCGCACAATGAGGTTCTGGTGGGTTGTCCAGTTTGGTCAGCCTCCTGATGCTCAGGATGAAAGTTTCGGGTTCAGGCTTAGGAGCAAAAGGGAATCAGTACCAGAATGGACAATTTTCCCAAGTCGTCCTCTTTCAAAGCCCAAATCCCTAAATCTTTAAGTCGGGCCGTGCTCAACAAACGTGCAGCCCTGGCTGGGTCAGTAGAAGTAAGGCGGCTTGTCAACCGCAACAAAAACACATCCGTTGCCGTACGGTTGTCCCCGGATTCGCTTGATCCAGCATGGATCTCATTTGCTACCGTAAGATTCCAAAGATACACCTACGGGCAAGTACGTGTGTTTGTGGCTTCTGGGTCGGTTTCTTCAACCAAAACAAAGCCAGGGTTTCAGGGCTCTTACCACGACCTTCAGTGTATTCCAAACTAGGAAGCTCTTGAGGTATCCCAAGCCCAGGCTTACAAGCCTTACGTGGTGTCGGTTTATAATCCGCAGCTTTCAAAAGCTCCCAAAATCCTAAGCCCTGGGCCCTAGGCCCTAAGCCCTAAGCCCTAAACCCTAAACCCTAAACCCTAAACCCTAAACCCTAAACCCTAAACCCAACAAAAACCCTCCCGAAACGCAAGGATCCCTGTCCTCCTGAGGTGCCCTGCGGCATCTTCCACGACGACGGCCGCATTGCCATGATCCTGGAGGAGCGCTCTGAGAAGGGCTTTGAAGGTTTAGGGGTTTCGGGTTTAAGGTTTAGGGTTTAGGACATCGTATCGGAGTACTTGGAAGGCATGGCAACCGGTTCTCGTAGTGGCCACTCTGGTCCCGCAGGCCTTGTGTGAGAAGGAAGCTCGTGTTTATGATGTTTCACATGGGGGCATTGCGAAAATAGGGGACACCTAGTATAGAGCCCCAAATAGTAGGCTTCCCCTCATCATAAGGACCCCAATAAGGTACCCCTAAACCCTAAACCCTAAGCCCTAAGCCCTAAGCCCTAAACCCTAAACCCTAAACCCTAAACCCTAAACCCTAAACCCTAAACCCTAAACCCTAAACCCTAAACCCCTAAACCCCTAAACCCCTAAACCCCTAAACCCTAAACCCTAACATAGTAGGATCCCTTTTAGAATAAGGACCCCAAAGAAGGTACCCCTCAATATCGTACACCCCCATTTGCCGCAGGATGCCATGACGATCCGCAAGGCCGTGGTGCAATGCCAGGACTCCATAACATCGGAACAGCAGGGCTCAGTAGGATTCTGCGGTTTCAGAGGGAGTTGTGCATGTGTACATCTGTATTGTAACAATTTGTGACATGTGTAAGATTGCACTCCCATATCGGTGTATGTGTAGACATGTGCTGAGTTGAATACAGTGAGCGTAAGAGAGCACCCCGACCTACATAAAGGCCCAGAGCCCTCCATGGTTCGCACGCAGAATCCCCCACCAAGCTTCGGGTTTAGGGTTTAGGGTTTTCGGAATTAGGAGCTTAGGGTTTGGAGTCTGAAGTGTTTCGGATGTCGGGGTGACTTACGCCATGGGATGGATTCGAGCTTTTTTTGTCGGTTGAAAGGTGTTGGGGGGTGGTTTAGGCTTTCGCCAGGACCTTCACAAGGCTGGCAAGCTGCAGGACTGCCCGGTGAATGATTTGGGGGATTCCGTTGCCCTGATGGGTTTAGGGTTTAGGGTTTAGGGTTTTGATCCAGCAAACCTGAAGCTTGCCCGAAGCCCTCTCAACCCTAAACCCTTCCTTTTTACAGGCCAACTTTCACCCTCCCCCCTTCCCCCTGCACCCTCCACCCCCGCACGCCTACATTCGAAAGGACGTTTCATCAAAGTGCGTGTTGCTCGCATCCGCCAGCTAAGGCTAACATCACATAAGGTTGAAATTGCTTTGGTTGCTTGATGCAAATTCGGGTTCTTGTGGACACATGAGCCGATTTAGTTGTTTTAGTTTTTCGGTTTTGGTAAACACGCGTTTGTATTGAGAACCGCTGTCGTTTGACTTGCGTTTCGGTGCCAGATCTTTGTTGGGGTTCATAGTTCAATACTTGTCTTTGCCTTATTCCACGCACTAAGCCCTGAACACCTATGCAACTCTCAAGATCTGACTCTCTGAACCTCAAGAGTCCCAAGCTTCGTGGGGGGGGGGGGGGGTTTACGAAAATCAGGACCCGGCATAAAGAGACCCGCAAATAGCAGGTCCCTTGTAATAAGGACCCCGATAACGCACCCCGAATTTCGGAACCCCCCCCCCCCCCCCCCCCAAACCTTAAACACTAAACCTTAAACCCTAATCCTAAACCCCAACCCCAACAACCCCAAGAAGTTTAAGACTTCCAGGGTTTAGGCTTTTGGGGCGCGCGGCACCCAACTGCTAGGCCTGTTGAGGCGGGGGTGGCCGCGCCCACCCCCTTCCCCCGGGTTAGGGTTTGGGGTTCAGGGTTAAGGGTTAAGGGTTTAGGGTTTAGGGTTTAGGGTTTAGGGTTCAGGTTTAGGGTTTAGGGTTTAGGGTTTAGGGTTTAGGGTTTAGGGTTTAGGGAGAAGGGTTTAGGGTTTAGGGTTTAGGGTTTAGGGTTTAGGGTTTAGGGTTTAGGGTTTAGGGTTTAGGTTTCGGGGGCCCAAACCCAATTGATTGCAGGACGTGCATCAGCGGGGAGCTGAGAGGCCTCCAGCAGGCCACAGGATCCCCCACTAAAGCCCCCGGCAGCAAGGGGTTTAAATTTGGGGCTTAGGGTTTAGGGTTTAGGGTTTAGGGTTTAGGGTTTAGGGTTTAGGGCTTAGGGCTTAGGGCTTAGGGCTTAGGGCTTAGGGCTTAGGGTTTAGGGTTTAGGGTTTAGGGTTTAGGGTTTAGGGTTTAGGGTTTAGGCTTGGGATGTTCCCCCTTCTACTAGCAGTCCTGAAGAGGGATTTACAATAGGGGGTACTATCGTAATCCCCATTAAGGTCCTGAGGGGGATACAAATTGGTTTAGGGTTCAGGGTTTAGGGTTTAGGGTTTAGGGTTTAAATAGGGGGTACTAGAATCCCTATTTAGGTCCCTAGTAAGGGCTGCGAGCAGAAGGGGGGAACATATCCCAAGCCTCTCTCTCAACAAGAGCTGAGGGCTTCGGAGGGTTGAGGGCTGTGTCCAGGCTGCCAGGCTGAAGGCAGCATCAGGATGTAGGGCTTCCTACCAGTTGCTTAAGAACCCCCCCCCCTCAAAAAACAAAACAAATGCATTCCTTATAAGGGTAGTATAGGGATTATGGTTTTTTGGGGGTTTATGAAGCAAATAGTGGCTTCAGGGCTTCGGCTCTGCATCCAGGCTTCATTCTCTGCGGGAAGGGTTGGAAGTGCGTGCCGCTTCAAAACAAATAGAGCACTGCTCTCAAGCATCCCAAGCAGCCTGGCAAGCACTAAGTAGTATAGGGGGAATAACTACTAACAGTATTCCCTTATGCCCCGCCCCTTATAATTTAGTAATCCCCAATAACCCTAAAGAATGCCCCTAGAGGATCATTTCACACTAGGCGCCCGGCTTGTGTACCAAGAGCTGGGTGAACGTGACTCGAAGACCCGGGTATGACTATTCATTGGACATTGTGCCAGTCAAGTGAATGAAGTTAGAGTTTAGGGTTTAGGGCTTAGGGCTTAGGGCTTAGGGCTTAGGGCTTAGGGCTTAGGGCTTAGGGCTTAGGGTTTAGGGTTTAGGGTTTAGGGTTTAGGGTTTCGGGTAGGATGGTCACAGTACGCCTTTATCAGTCCCCGCCCCAGAGTCAAAATGCCGAGCCAAGACCAACGATCCTAAACCCTTCTGTTGATTTTCTGAGCCCAAACCCCAAAACCCAACACCCAAAACCCTAAACCCTAAACCCTAAACCCTAAACCCTAAACCCTAAACCCTAAACCCTAAACCCTGAACCCAAAGCCCCCTGATGTTCTGAGGATGGTCCGCTGGATCAATACCAAGGAGGAGCATGCCAGAAGCTTAGAGAGACATCCTCCTAAACCCTAAACCCTAAACCCTAAACCCTAAACCCTAAACCCTAAACCCTAAACCCTAAACCCTAAACCCACTGAGGGATTTTCAGGGAAGACGAAGGGCTCCCGGACTCCAAAGCTCTTGCAGTTGTCGGGGTACCCGGGTCATCGGGGTAACCTTTCAGAGCTTCACGCTGTAGCTGGTACAGCCCGCTCATGAGCCCAAAGAATGCAAAAACTATTCTTCCTTGTTAGGCGATCAAAAAGGGATTCTTTATCCCCACAAAAACAAATATGGTTTTCCTGAGAAAAGGGTAACATAGGGATTATCATCCGTTAGTTTCTTGGGGGGGGTGTTTAAAGCAAATCGTTTGGGATGTTCACCTTATGCTAACAGTCCTTAATAGGGATTATAATAGGGGGTACTACCCTAAACCCTAAACCCTAAACCCTAAACCCTAAACCCTAAACCCTAAACCCCATACTAAGGACTGCTAGTATAAGGGGGAACATCCCAAGAAATCGTAGTCTCAGGCCACGAAGCTGATGAACACCATGGCCGAGCTGGGTCCTCGGAATCCTCGACACTAGGGCCAAGAATCAGATGACTTGGGGTTAGGGTTTAGGGTTTAGGGTTTAGGGTTTCGGGTTTAGGGTTTAGGGTTCGGGTTTCGGGTCATTCCTCCCTTACTGCACTGTTGATTGGGGTTCTGGTCACACGGGCCCATGACTATCGCGCCCGCTAGCAAGTGCAAAGGAAGTTGCAGACATCACCACTGAGGGCTCTAAACTCGAGCAGCTCGTTTGGTCCGAGGCTTCTGCGTCTGCATTTAGGTTTCATAGGGTTTGGGGTTTAGGGTTTCGGGTTTCGGGTTCATGGGTTTAACAGGGCTTTGCGGTTCCAGGCCTCCCTTTACGCCACTTGGAAGAGCAGGTACTTCCTGGCTCAGAAGGTGAAGAAGGATCAGCTGAGCGAGCACGACTACTTGCAGGCTGGCCCAGAGCCCGAAATTAGGCTCTCAGGGTAGTTCCATGGTCCCTTAGTATGGGCCCTTAAAAGGGTGCCCCGTATATACCCCTTATGTACCCTTTACAAATGTAAGTAAGGGCCCATACATCAGAACCCTTTAAAGGAGGTTCGAGGGCTATACTAAGGGCCCATGGAACTACCCTCAGATAGGCGAAGTGCCATGTCCTAGCTCCGACTCTAGGGTTCTTAGATCTTCTGAGCCGGGCACAGGATCCCAAAGTGTGGGGGTAGGGTTTAGGGGTTAGGATCCCAAAGTGTGGGGTTAGGGTTTAGGGTTTGGGGTTTAGGGTTTAGCGTTTAGGGTTTAGGGTTCAGGGCCGTTTAGGGTTTTCGGTTTAGGGTTTTCCTAAGCTACCGAAGTCAAAGAAGTGAGTGGCCAGCGTGGGGCCCTTGCTGCATGAGCAATCGGATGTAGTCGGACACACACTCAGGGTTACGATTGCAGGGGTGTGGTTTCATCGGGGTCTAGGATATTCTCGCCGCCCGGAAAGGAGGTCGCAGGGGTCCTAAAGGTCTTCTGAAAGCATGCGCAAGGCGGCTGTAAGACCTCAATACCTTAAGGCCCTGAAGCCCCCAATCCCTGATCTTAAACCCTGAACTCCGAGGCCCAAACAGCCCAAAAGCCCTCAGGTCTTGGCCTTGCACCATGCGGTGCGGATCTCGGTGTCGTGGCCGCTGGGGCGTGTGCTTTGCTCTGCCCACCACCACCCCTGTACCACATGGGCCAGTCAGAACTTAAGACTTGTAGATCCAAAACACAGAGCCCGAAACCGCCGAAGCCCTCAAACGAGTTTTTATATAACCTTGCCGTAAGCACTAAACTGATCCCCCTCCCTCAACCCAAGCTTTCGAATTCCACCCGACGCCCAAGCCCGCAACGACAAACGCCGAGATAGAGAGAGAGAGAGAAAGAGAGAGGTGCTCGTGGCGGCCATGAAGACCAAGCAGTCCTCCGAGATAGGGGCTGCCGGGGGCATAGCTGAGTTTCTACAACCTGCAATGCTAAATCTGTACAAAGCTTGCAAGGCAAGCTCCCCAACTGAACGTCATTGAAGAGCAGCTTGCTAGGTTTAGGGTTTAGGGGTTTAGGGTTTAGGGTTTAGGGTTTGGGGTTTGGGGTTTGGGGTTTAGGGGTTTAGGGGTTTAGGAGCCGGCATGTATCAAGACATCCAATACTGTCGAGTTGAAAAAGGCTCTGGCTCGTGCCCCTGCATGCAATCCAAAATCCATGATCGGGCTTTGGGCCTTCTCTCTTGCCTGAGGGGGAGGGTTTCGGGTTTAGGGTTTAGGGTTTAGGGTTGAGGGTTTAGGGTTTAGGGTTTAGGGTTCAGGGTTTAGGGTTTAGGGTTTAGGGAGGCCCTTAGGCTTCGGGGTTTAGGGGTTATAGGGCTTCAGTGTGAAGACGTGAAGACGAGGGTTTCAGTGGTTCGGGGTTTGGAGCTTCGATGCTTCGAGCTTTTCTCTCTTTGACATCGTGGTGTTTAGGTGGCTTCGTTTCTTTTGGGCTAACATGAGAAACAAACTCTGCAGATCCCTGCCGCTTCTTTCTGGGTGAAGAGTCAAGACGGTAAAGGGGTCGTTAGGGGCCTGAGCTCTAAAACCTCCGTCTTCAGCCCAGACTGTAGCCCATGCGAGGTAGATGCCCTGGACAAGGCCATTCAGGCTGGCTGCAGACATGAATCCGTGTTACCTTGCGCTGATCTAGAAGCTCAGGGCCTGCAGGGTCTCGAGTTCAGGGTTTACAGTGCCCTGGCATCTCCAATGCAGTATACATGACGCTAGCTTTTTTGAGCTGAGCATCGCAGGGCCGCTATAAGGCATGGCAACCTTCGGGGGTTCAGAGCTTTCCGCAGGCACTGCGCCCGATCTACGAGAAGCAGTAAGCGAAGCCGAGCCCAGATCTCCCCGGCGGGCAGATATTCTCGGTGGGCCCTCGGGACATTCTATATCTTCCCTTTTTGGTTCTAAGAGGATCATATCCAGGAATATATTTCCGGGGGTTTTACGGGCCATCCTAGTTTTTGTGTTTAGGGATGTTGAGGGCTTAGGGTCCCGGGCTTCAGGTTCGGAAACAGCACGGCGATGTCTGCTTCAAGGTGCCTACAGTTCTACAAAGTCAGCATTCCACCTTTTCAACTCCCTATAGTGCCTGTCACCCGACGCGCCCAAAAGAAGGAAACCGTGCGCTGCGCGGGAATTCTGCGAGAGTTCGACTTAGCTTTTGCCGGCGTAGCCTTCGGAGTTCTCTGATACCCTAAACCCTAAACCCTAAACCCTAAACCCTAAACCCTAAACTTTAGTAGTGCTTCTTGCCACGGCCACGATGCGAGAGACGAGGGTTTGGGCTTCGGGACATCGAGGCGGCTCGATTATTGGTGGGCTTGCAGTCGTCCCACTGCGGAGACATTTGTAGGCTGGGCTCCAGGGGTCACTTTGCCCCCCAAAAGCCCCCGTAGTGAGTGTGAACTTCGGACACATGCAGAATGATATCTTCGCCTAATCATCCAACAAAAGTTGTTTTCAACAAGTGGCCTTGTCGCTTTTTTGGGTGCGGGCTCAGGACTGGAGGATGGTCTGCGAGTGTCCGAACTGGTTGGTGGCACGTTGCATGTTTGGCTCCAGCTGCTTGTGCGCCTTAGCACGACGAAGGCCTTGTCGGCAACGGCATGCAGCAAGTTTGAAAGACCACCCAGTCAGCATTTCATAAGCGAGAGGAGTGAACTTACGGCACCCCTGAAGCAGCCAGGCATGTTTAGGGTTTTAGGTTTTTTCACGCGTAGGACCCTTAGGATCAGTCCTCTCTGTCCTCCACGACTGTACTAGTAACGCTCTCCCTGCACGCAAGCGCTGCAGAACTTGAAGGGATCGGAAAGCCCTTCACACTATGATGCATCAGGCGATGCCAAGCACCTTGGCTGTGTTCAGCACAATGTAGCTGAATGGGCTATTGCAACCATGGGTTCAGGGTTTAGGGTTTCGGGTCTAGGGATACCTGTCCTGCCGGCAAAAGAAGCGTCGCACTGCCCAAAATGTTTCGCACGATTTTCCTCAAGGGTAGTGAAAGCGTATGCCCCAGGGCCACGGCTTTCGGGTCAACAAAAGGTCCCAAGGCGTGCTGAAGCCAACTCTTGCGCACGCACGGATCTCCTGTTACTCAGCTGGCATTTTTTCCGGATCCTGGCCTGCTTCAGATGACCGTCTAGGTGAACGAGGAGCTCTAAATTTGTACTTATAAGGACTGCGGGGACTTTCGCCAAGACGCCCCAAGGTCCCCAAATCGCACGCTGAGGGCGCCCGAAGCTTCAACAAATAAATGTGCCCCCCAAACCATGCAACGGCACCAGACTCTGAACCCTGAACCCGCCGGATCTTCCGCTACTTCAGGATGCGTAGTTCGAAAGACCGTGACCGAACTTTGGCAACACACAAAACACCGAAGCCAATTACGCATGCCTAGACCCCCGAGCTCAGCCACTAAACCGCTACAAAACCACGATGAGACCACTGTGAGGCCCCGAAACCACAATGAAGCCACTCTGCGAAACCACTCTGAAGCATCTACGAAGACCTAAACTCCGAAACTCGGCGGATGCTGAGGCGGCTTGGCATCTGAAGTGCCTCCCAAGGAGCGAAGCAACGGAAGAGACATGCGGACCTTTTGTCAACCCAGCCGGGTGTAGGGTTTAGGGTTTAGGCTTAAGGGTTTAAACCCCGCGTTTCAAGGTGTACTTCGGGCGCAGGGTCTCTATCATGGGCAGGTTGACGAGTTTGGGCAGGTTTGACTCCAATAATTCTTAAAGGTATGCAGCCACAGTGGCTCTGAGGACCCGCTCTGAGAGCGTCCGCTTCATTGAAAGAAGAGCCGTCGCACGGTCTGTGGGAGTCTCGGGGCTTCGAGCGCTGCCGATGGTTTTTTTGGTTTGTTTTAAGAGGTTTGGTGTAGGCGGGGGAGCCGGAAGAGCCTTCCGTCACAAACATGATGCTCTTGCCTTCAGGTGTAGTCTCCCCCCCCCCCCCCCCCCGCACAACCACATTTTCTTGCATGTCATGCGAGATGACCTTGGCAACCCTTACTTAGCCAATGGTTGAGCTTTAAACTTTTTTGGTTTCCTTATTGAACAAGTATAATAATGTTTGGGGTTTAGGGTTTAGGGTTTAGGGTGGTGATTGGAGAAGTAAGAACCTGTCGGCCTCGCTGTCCGAGTAGCCCCCATCTCCCCACCAGCAGACGCCACACAGAGGAGCGGCGGCAGCCAGCTCGGCGCGCTGTAGAGGCGGGAACGACCTAACGGAGACTTTAAGGGTTAGGGTTTCAAGAGTTTAGGGTGATCTTTGGACCGGTTTGGGGTGATGTAGGTTGAGCATTTTCCGAATTCGGGTTCCAGCATGTCACATCCACCAAAACTTCATTCAACCTGAAGCCTAAATCCGACATGATCAAAGTGCCCAAGGCCCGCAAGCCCTAAGCTGCCTAGGAAGAACTGCCAGGGTTTAGGGTTTAGGGTTTAGGTTTTAGGGTTTAGGGTTTAGGGTTTAGAGTTTAGGGTTTAGGGTTTAGGTATGCCATGGTTTTCTTTGTTGCGTCCAAGAGAGCTTTTTGTATTAAGAGAGCCCTTCCCTAAACCCTAAACCCGGGTTGACCTAGGACGGAAGTAGGGTAGGGTTCACAGTGTCACTCAGCCCCAAACCACGGCGCCAAAACGACCAAACCTCTGCACACACCAGTGCGCCCCAAGCAACAAAAACCCGAGATGCGGCCACACTGAGTGAAACGCTGCGTTTCTCCACGAATCACTGCAATCCCTCACAACAGACCATCCAAGTGCCAAGCCCCACAGTCTGCACCAGCGGCTTCCCGAAAGCCGAAACTGCAGACCGCAAACCCCTGGTTTTCCCCAAGCCCGAGACCCTAAAGTCCCCCAAGCCCTAAACCCTGCAGAAGTGCCTTCTCCGGGGCGCGCTCCTTTTAGCCGCTTGCGCTGCTTCGAATGGAGCAGGCGACCCTTCTTGAGTTTCATTTGTTTAGTGCCGCGGCCTGGCACCCTGTCGGCGTTGCGGGCATTATCGCATATTAGAGGCTCGATATGGCGTCCTATGAGGGTTTAAGATTTCGGGTTTGGGGTTTAGGGCTTTCTCCATGTTTGTGTTTTAACGATGCCTCGCAGATCTCGAATACAGATGGCCACCGTTGGGGGCGGCCGCATAGCCCTCTGCACGGTAGCAACTTGTGGAGACTGTCATTGAATCATCATTGCGTACATCCCAATGGAGCTGCGGGTTGGGTTTGGGGTTTATAGAAACTGCATAGGGTTTGGGTCCCAAAAGTTTTTGAGCGAAACGTTTTGAGCGAAACGTTTTTTTCTTTTGGAACTATGTTTTTCATTTTTTTTGGGGGGGGGGGGGGGTAGGGGGGAAAGGGGGAGGGAAGGGGGAGGGAAGGGGGAGGGAAGGGGGAGGGGGGGGGGAGGGGGGGGTAAGGACGGGGATGGTTTAAGTAAATTGAGAATTTGGCCTCCCAGAGGGATTTTGGATTGATATGCTCGGGCTCGCCTTGTCGGCTATTTAGACGAATAACTTGGGAAATTCAGAATGATACCGCATACAATTTCTATGTATTTTGTCTTGAGGGTTTAGGGTGAAGGTTGAGGGCTTGTAGGGTTTAGGGTTTAGGATTTGAAGCCCTCGGATCTTGACCTCAAACCCTATATTCAAGTCCCCAAGTCTCCAAGAAATCCCGAGCCTGAGGCCTACGATCTGAAGCTCTCACACGCTCCCCCCCGACACGCCCCCTCCCTTGCCCTAAACCCTAAACCCTAAACCCTAAACCCTAAACCCTAAACCCTAAACCCTGAACCCTAAACCCTAAACCCTAAACCGCAGAAGTAAACCAGAAGTGAGATGACTGGAGCGCGCGCGCGCGCCAGGGCCCGGGAGCTTTGCCGGCGTGCGCGGAGCTACGCTGCCCAGGCCCAAAGTTAACAGCTCTAGGGTTTTAGGGTTTAAGGGGCTTAGGGTTTTTGGTGTCGGTTTTGGGTTTAGGGTTTAAGGTCAGATCGTACTCTGAACATTTGACCCGGTCCTAAACCCTGAACCCTGAACCCTAAACCCTAAACCCATGTCGTTCCATTCGCCTTCTCGGTGGCTCAGGTCTCCCCGGTCTCCCATCGTTGCCTTGGCGGCGGAGGCGGCAACACCGGCTTGGAAGCCCAGAAACCTAGTGCAGGGTTTAGGGTTCAGGGTTGAGGGGTTAGGGTTTGGGGTTTAGGGTTTAGGGTTTAAGGCTTTAGGGTTTACGATTGGCATGGGGCGGCAATTCGCTAGGCTCTTTTCCATCACTATGTGTTTGGCATCACCCCTCCCTCCCAGAATCCCTTTTCATCTGAATTAGAGATCTTTTTCTTACATGTGTCATCTGGCTCGCATTCGGCACCATCTATAGTCAATTCAAATGCGCGCAAACCAAACGGCCGACACGATGAACATTTTCATTCGTGCGTCCCGGGGGGGCCCCGGGACAAAGTCCCGGTGTCTCGGGGCGGGCGGTCCCGGGACAACGGTCCTCGGGCGTTTTCGGGGGTGGGGGGGGGGGGGGGCATCCCGAACGCCCCGGGACAATGTCCCGGAGATCCCCGGAGCAACCCTAAATCCTAAAGGCCCCAAAGAAGCCCCTGAACCCAAAATCCTAAACCCTAAATCCCAAGTCCTAAATCCTAAATCCTACAGGCCCCAGAGAGGCCCCTGAACCCTAAATCCTAAATCCGAAATCCTAAGGCCCCAGAGAGGCCCCTGAACCCTAAATCCTAAATCCTGAATCCTAAATCCTAAACGGTCTAGCCTAAACGATCAAACCGGGAGCACTGCCCCATCAAGGTTTACAAAAACATAGGTAGGAGAGGGTTTAGGAGATGTGGAGCTTTAAACCCTAAACCCTAAACCCTAAACCCTAAACCCTAAACCCTAAACCCTAATGTGTTCCGGGACTGGGCCATGCCGAAGCTCCGCTTTCATATCGGCTTCACGCCGGTTCCTCACCTTGGAGGTTCATGGTACTTATTCACCAGCTATAACTGTACTAGGCTTTAGGGTTTAGGGTTTAGGGTTTAGTGTTTAGGGTACTTATAACCCAACTACAACTGTACTTTTAGCCCACTTATAAGCCCCTTAAGTGCCCTGGTAAGGTTAGAATCGGGTTATAAGTACAGATATTGGGTTCATAAGTACTATGAACCGCCAAGTATGCAACGAGTCGAGAACGCTCGACCACCAGAATTTGTAAATAAGCAAGAGCCGAACCTCCAAGCACTGCGAAATGCTCGGGCTCCTGTGGCAGTTTGTTTACTGCAGGCCTGATGTTTGCGAGATGTTGAGCTGCACCGTGCCCAGGCATTTCCTCATCCCATGCCCCAAGCCCAATCTGCAAAGACCCAAAAGGCCCAGAAGACCCCGGAGACCGGGAAGACCCACAAAAACGAGACCCAGAAGACCCAGGAAGACCACAGAAGACCTGAAAACCCTAAACCCTAAACCCTAAACCCTAAGCCCTAAACCCTAAACCCCAAACCCTGAACCCTAAACCCTAAACCCTAAACCCCCAGAAGATCCTAAGGCATCAATCACCATCTC